TTAAAATCGGAAAGGCCACTCTGTTTTTCGAATATATAATATTCTTGTTCCCTCTTATTCTACCACATATGCGGAATCCCTTATCCTTAGTTTGCTTCCCTTCCCCTTCCCTTATAAGCTTGCAAAACGCATTTTAGCACATTGCAGGAGATACCTCTTTTTGATCAGCATCACAATGTCTATATTAATTTCTCAATTATAATATAAGATTATTATATATATAGAGATACAGCATTTAAGATTAGGATTTAGATTTGGTTATCAATTTCAGAAATATTTATTGAATTACAAGCTTCGGCTTGCCCTATAATAATTTAATTCAGATGTTTGCAAATGCAGTGAAGCTTACACCTCAGACCCCGTTGAGTATTCCTGATCAGCACCAACATCTGAATTGATTTAAGCATGTTCGTCTGTCTGGTTCTACGTCGAATACAGTTCGTTTCATTTGGATAGGACACCTAGCAACTTTTATAGTTGATCGCTCGTAGCGAAGACAAAAATCGTTGAAAGCTTAAATTTTTTTAAAGTTATAATCTCTGTTATATATTGATTCTAAAATGCAGTTATTGCTTTCCCCACTTTTTTATTTGAGTTTTTGCACTGCTGCATGGTTTTTTGCATTCTGAAAATCGTTTCATTTGGATAGGACAGTTCAGTTTGGATCCCTTGTGTATAGTGTATAGTATAGTATAGTGCTATTATTGATCAAATGAAACTAAAATGCCAACATGAAACGAACTGTAGTTATTGTATGCCGCATATACAGTGCCACGCAGCTTATTTCGTGCAGTTACCTAAAAAAAGTTCTAATCGTTATTCCTGCTAAACTAAGAAAGATATCAGAAAAATTTAAGTGCAGGGTTTCAATAAGGAATATTAACTTATTTATTGAGCGAAAGCTATTTTCTTAATCATAAAAACAAAAAAATTATTTAATAAAAACAAAATGTACAGGCTTTTTCCATGCTGCAGCTTATTTTGTGCAGCAGATTCTACCTAACTTAGTATTAGTAATTTAACAGCTACAATTTTGTATGTCCTTCTTTCTGGTTCAGGACAGCTTTGAGATGATTTTCCATGGAGCAAACTAACTTTTTAGTGGTTTCCATTGGAATTTTTCGCCTTCCTTCCATAAGAAAAGAATTGGATTTTTCTTGAAATTCTTGATTTTCAGTTAAAATCAAACTACTCTATCTTATACCTGCCATAGGAACAATGAGAAAATCTACAGTTAAGCACTTGGTAAGCGTCGGAAGACTGCACTTTATAAAGTCTACGATGGACAAGGTTCACTATCTTGAAATTTTGAAAGCCAATTTTCTTCAAAATGCGGTAGAACTTGGAAATCGGGAGGATTTTCGCTTCTACCAAGACAATGACTTTAACCACAAATCGGATATTGTACAGTCTTGGCTGATTTGGAATTGCCTACATGTGATGGAACCCCCCGCCTAGGCACCAGACATAAACGTTATGAAAAATTTCTGGGCAATTCCGTACCAAAATATCAGAAAAAGAAAACAAATCTGCTCTAAAAAATGCAATGGTGACAGAGTGAGGAAAAATAGTCCTATTGGGGAGAAAAAGCTGGTGGAATCGATGTCAAAACGGCTTAAAATGTTCATTGACAACAATGGTGGCCAAAACAAGTATTAATTTTTCTTGTTTTTTCATTTAAATCAGTTAAAAAATATATTTTCTCAGCTTGTTGAAATAAGCTGCTGCAGTATTTTAAGCAGTATTTTTGTTTAAAAATTTGTATTAAATATTAAAAAAATTCTAAAAAAAAAAATGTTAATTTAAAGGCTCACACTACAAATCCCCATTTTAATTTTTATATTAGCTCTCATGGTTTGCTAGATATATGGCTTAAAAGTTTTTTTGAGGTGCTGGTTGAAATAATACTGTATGTTAACGAAGAAAGCTATCTTCGGTGATTCAAAACCTACATATATACCCTTGAATTTTAACTTTAATGTAGAAAACTACTAGACTCATACAAATTCTATAATAACAAGATTTTTCCTTTTGCATTCTTTCGTTAATTCAATCTTTACAACTTCAGCGATAAGCTGTTACTATATACTACTATTACTAATTCTCTCATTTCCATGGCAGCTATGCGCTATATATACATGTATATAAAGCTATCGTAGCTTTATAGAAATAACTTTTCAGTATCTATTTTTGGAGTCATAGCAATATAAAAGAGCCAATAGGATACAAAAATTCAACGGCGTGATCATTTCTTCCTGTTATCTTTTCGGTATCCCCTATGGGAGTTCGACTTATATACTGCGAGCAATAACTACATAACTTTTGGTAATGATCCAGCAAGAAATCTTTAAAGCTGAGCGTCTAGTTTACATAGAAACAGACAGACGAGCAGACGGACTAACGATCTTGTCTAATCATATGTTTTTAATCATATCGACCTATTTTCTACCAGATGGTGTTTTTTAACTACTATCGAATTTCTAATTAAATTTTATTAAAATATGGTTACTATATTATGTAGCTACCATACGAAAGATCGATCAAAAATATATATAAATAATGGGAAAAAATTATAACCTCGAGTTTTTTAACTACTCTCTAAATAAGAAACAGATTTCATACAAATCGGATATATATATCCTATAGGCATAGCTGAAAATTCATGTAAAAATATCTGAAATAAAATTATAACATTTTCTTTTTTTTTTATTATACATGATTTTTGGAATGTATAGTTTTCTAACAACTCTTGAACTTCGGATTAAATTTTATAAAAATCGGAAAACTATATCATATGGCTGTCATATGAACAATCGTTGAAAATATAGAAATATATTAGAAATTCATCATAGCTTCGATGTTGTTAAGCCCTTATGTATTTTGTTCGACATATTTGATGACTGCAAGGTTAAAGGTATAAAGTTCGGCTCGCCGAAGCAAGCGTACATTCTTGTTTACAATAACATTCTATTTAAGGGAGTATAAAAGTTTTAGATCTCCGAAGGTAGCTTCGTTTTCTGTTTGACTTTACAATATTTCTCTTAAACTTGTATTACTTCTACAGCTAAATATATAAAAGTACACTATCTGTCTACTTTAAATGCTTCACAAAAATATAATACCTTGGTAAGCCAGATAGAATTTTAACTTCTAACTAACTAACTAACTATACTTGTATATTGCCACCTTTTTGCAAAACCAGTATCATTCCCGGATTGACAACAGGTGTCAATTGGTCTAGTTTGGATTTACATACCTATAGTACATGACACGTCATTGACAAATTTCAATTTATTTCTGTGAGTATGCATGCACTGCCTGCTCTTGTTAGTCTGTGTGTGCTCTTTACTTTTGAGCTTGACTTCCCTTCAATACTTTAGCAATTATTAAAAACCCTTTGATCGAAATCAAACAAAAGGACTAGTAGTCATATAAAAACCACATACTCACATTTGGAGGGGGGTGAACCGCACTGGCAACATTCGAATATGCAAAACAGCCTTTCTAGCAACATTTTATTATCTGTCGACAATAGTTTATCATGAGATAAAGCCCCCCGATAAGGGCATAAGCACTGTGATAACCAACAGCAACAAGAGCGTGGACAAACAGACGATAATAATAATAACAGTATACAACTCACTCACTCAGTCAATCGGAGTTGGCGACAAAGGAGCTGGCGGCGGTCACGAGGAAACTCGGCCGCAGTCGAATGCAGGCCGTCGAGAGCAGCATGCGTCACAGGGACTAATCAGGCACCCACCCCATTCCACCCCACCGCACTCTCCCACTTCCCACATCCCACTCCCATTCCGACTCCCCTGGCTCAATACCCCCCGTCCGGAGTTGGACCCGAGCACGTGGTGTGCACGTCTAGGAACTCCGGCACATTCCACCCCGTCGCGACGGGCGAGTGCGTGTGGGGGGTTGGACTGCATCTGCGAGTGTGTGCGAGCTCGACTGGGATAACGTGTAATGTGATAAGGACTGCGATTTGGAGCTCTTGTGGGGTGTATCGGTTTATACCCTTACTGCATGAAACATTTTAAGCTGATCATACACATATATGTAACAGGCTGGGTATTAATTATGTATACTAACTTATATTATTGATATCATTATTTTTTATTATTAGATTATATTGTAAGCGTTGGTCACACTTCTGATCTCTCGAGAGAGGATGTGCTCTCTCGAGAGAGTAAGAAGTTAAGCATAAACGGGGGTTGAAAGTTAGCTGCCTGCGAGCAGCGAGTCCAGTTCGTATTGAGAATTATAAGAGAACACAATAAAGAAGATCCTGATACATATAGTATAAATTGAATGAAAAAAAAAAACAATGACTTATTAACCTTACTACCTAACTTAATTCACCTACTAAAACTTAAAAGTAAATCCCATATACATAAATTTATAATGTATCGTTTAGGTATACTATGTTAGTTATTAAGTAATATTGGATCGATCTAGCCCTTTCCAGCCTCTCAATTTGGGGGTGCCACATCAACGCGCCCACGCTGAATCGCCTAGAAGAGACACACTCAAACCCAGGCCAACTCACTCAGAACTCGACTCCGCATTTGAGCCTTTTCAGTTGCCCTCCATTCGCCAGCCTGGTTCGACTCAGGCGTTCGTGCGGGTGGAAGCTCCAGCCCCCCTCCGCCAAATGGACTTGTTGCTCGACTCGTCGCCCATCGGCCAGGCTTTTGATTCGTCTTTGGCCCGGACTCGGGTCGCCCGATGGCGGCGCTTCGTTCTGGAGCCATTCCACAAGTGGCCGTCATCCTCAGCGCTTCCGCGTTTCCGGTGTTCGACGAGCGCTCAGTTTCAATACTTTGGCACTTCAGATTCTAGAAAAATTCTACTGGTGCGGAAATGTGAAAAATCATTTGAATTGGGAAATATTCCGAAAGCAGCGAAAATGTTGTGTTCATTTTGACGAGAATAAAAGTTATCAAACCAAACTGAAGTGAAATACATGTTGATAATAATGTGTCGCAAAAAATGAGAAAGTCGTAGAAAAGTGCTTTCACGGGATCTTTAAATATCCTGAGACTATAAAAATTAGTCATAAGCCAACGATTCAAGTGAGAGTGTTTGGAAAAAGCGTTTTTTCGTGTTTTATCAATATCCAGACTTTGCCTACAAATAATATAGATATATGTAAGTTCCTAAATTCATTAACTTAACTTATAATGAAGATGTGAATTTGTTGTAAAATCTAAAAAACATAGTAAAGGACTAACAATATAAGTAATATTATTCTACCTAAAAATATATAACATTGGCAACTGTTTTACAGGCTTTAAACCTTACTAAAATCCGCAAATGCAGGTTAAACGGATAATATCAATCTTCAAGTCGGTCAGATAACTTTAATTCATGCAATAGCTCAACCGAATCCCCAATACACTTGTCAAATGCAGCGCAACCTTGCAGCAACCACTCAGAAAGGGCAAACAAAGACCCACAAAAGTATGCTGTATTTAGTTGAAAGCGTAATAAATATTATACAAGACCAGGTGCTGACTGGCGTGGCGGGTACATTGCCAAGATTCCCAAACCGTTGTCCACCGCCAGACAAAGAAACTGTAAGCAGTGAAACCGCCAACAAAGAGTGCGAGAATGTCCAACAAGTTGCTGGGATCGGCATTGAAAGCCATCGGCGGTCAAATCTGAAATCCATCTTTGTTTTTTCTACATTAAAATAAATAAAACATCGATATAGGTCATTTTGTCAAAACATAACACATTTTTCAAGTTTAATTAAGATGAGCTGAGTTCCGCAGTTGCGGAATTAAATCGAATAAAATGGAACAAATTTTATCTAAATAAAAATAGATCAAAAAATAGATTTTTTGTTTTTATGGTCTGGATTATTTATTTTCAATCCCACAATAATGCATTTTTTCTATTCTGAGTACTGGCGATTTTTTGCTTATAGAAAATATTTAACTTCTATTCAACGGAATCTTAGACTCTGCCTTTATTTTGCGTTTTAATTCCTTTCAACATTTCCTTTAAAGGCGCCACAGAGTGTAGCGTCCGAGAAAGCGTTGTCGTTAAATAATAGCGACACTTTTGTTTCACTCATCGCCGACCGCGAAAGAAATGCACTGCAAAGTGCGCGTTTTCTATTACAACAAAGTCGATGTACATTTCCCATTCCGAGCTTTTCTCGGCTGCCCCACGCTTTAAATGCTGCAGCTCGGTTCCGGGTCAAATGCTGGTAAGCCAAGGGGCATAACCATAACAACGACAGCGCCGCGAAAGCGATTCATCGGTAAATGTTTTGCTCTTTGTTTTTACACCCCCGCCCGTGGAACGAAAGGGTATATTGAATTCGCAGTGCAGTGCAGTGATAGCGATGGATGTACTAACGTATCTATTATCAGCCGAGTTCGTTTTTAGGCTGCAAGCTAACCCACATTATATATCAGTTAGGAAACACGATTGGAAAGACTTCTCAACCATTTTGTTTCCTTTGCGGAGGGTATTAGAATTTCATTTTCTAAATCAGGATTACCATCTGAGTCGATTCCCACATTTACGTCTGTCCGCGATAAATCACAACAACAAATTTTCATTCTACAAGCATAATTTAATTCTCATGATGGCTTTGCCAAACTTAAATTTTTTTACCCACTACAATTTTCTTAAATACTTACAATATTCGCTATTGGTTTTGATATTTCAACTATCAGCCTTTTTTAAATTTACCTACATTTTCAAGCATTGGCAAATGACTGAAATTAAGGCCGTTTCTTAAGAAAAACAAAATACAGTAATTAACTATAATATAAATAAAATATTTTAGGCCAATTGGCAGCCCAAATTTTTTGGTATCTGTTTTATATATTTAATTTACTAGTACAATTCTTAATTAAAACAAGCTAACTACGTTTAATAATGCACGTGTCCATTAACACATTAATTGGGTCTGATGACACATATCAAATATTATTCTTTCAGAAATTATCTAGCCTTCTGATAATAACACATGCTTAGGAATGGAGTATTTTGTAGACAAGTTTGATTTATTGGTTGTAGCACATACACCAATGTTTTCAAAAATGTATCGTCTTTGTTTTTAGTTGTTTTCGAAAAGGTACCATTAACGTTGGGGCTCATTGAGCAAAAAATTTCGGTCCAACTAAGCCCTGGTTAATTGTGGGTTAACCTTTTCAGTTTGACCAAAGTTAAATAACTATATTATCTGTGATCTGTACGTCACATAACTGTCATACACAGCGGAATAATTATCAACACAGCTTTGTTTCTTTTGCGATAAAAAAGCAGGGCTGCAAACCCAAATAATTTCGGATGCGGTTCGGTTCTGAGTTTAAACCTACTCGTAAATTTTCAGATATTTTAACAAAGTCATTCGCAAAATTTATTTATTATTTAATTATATTTATTACTGTTTCTCTTCAAACTAGTCTCTCAGTTGTAAAGCTATCTTGCTGAAACTTTCCCAAAAGTTGTGTATTCATTTCACGCAGTATATAAGTCCAAACGGGATAGCTCCCATACGAGAGAATGAAATAAAAAATTCTTCCGCCGTTGTTTTTGATCAGATCGACTTGATTTCTTCCAGATGGCGTTTTCTAACTACTATTGAATTTCAGATTAAATTTTATCAAAATCGGATACCTCTATCATATAGCTGCCAAAGGAAAGATTGAAAAATGTATATGTACAGTAGAATCCTGTTATAACGACTCCGCTTATAGTGTCCGTCCGGGTATTGCGACGAAAACTCGATGGCTTGATTGGTCCCCAGACAGACTTATACACTTAAATCCTTCTGCTTAGTGCGTCTTCCGGGTATAACGACGAAAAATCGTCGGTCCCTTGAAAGTCGCTATAAGCGGATTCTACTGTATATAAATAATGGAAAAAAAATTATAACGTCGTTTTAATCCCACGAGCATGGTTTTCAAAATATGTATGTACTACATACTATGTAGTTTTTAAATAACCCTTAGATCGAGAAAAAAAATTTCATTAAAATCCGACCACGTTATTTGTAGCTGCCATAGAAAAGTTGGTTGCCATATTTTCATGCCATGTTTTTCATCAGACAAGCATGATTTTTAGAATATAGAGTTTTCTAACGACTCTTAAATTACGAATTAAATTTCATAAAAATCAGGCTACTATATCTTATAGCTGCCATATGAACAATAGTCCAACACATGAAAAATTCATAGAAAAATTGTCATTTCTTCGATGTTGTTTAGCCTTTATATATTTTGTTCGACCTATTTGATAACTGCAAGGGTATATAACTTCCTTTCTTGTTATAAATATAACAAATATTAGCAATGTTGTGAACCTTACACATCACTACTAAACTAAATTTTAAAAAATCTTAATAGGTTTACAATTTTGTCGTAAATACCGTAAACATCCAAAATCAGCAAATAAGCCAATATTCCATTTACTAAATTTTAACCCTTGTGGGTATCCTCTTTTTTTCTATGAGCGATTTTCATTGTTTAAATTTAGAATAGAAAACTACAAAAGGCCGCTCCGTCAATTTATTTTAGAACCTGAAGCTTATGAGTTTTAATTCCTTTCCTTGTTCGAAAAAAAGATCTTTTTTATAAACGGGGCTTACTAAACTGTTAGGTTTGTACAAGTGGCATTTTTTTAACGTTGGGTTTTGCAATGTTGTGTTTGATCGGTTTACTCCAAACCCCATTTTGTGACATTATGAGTAAACAAAGCGGGGCTTTTCTGAACAGCCTGGAATCCAGGCCCTGGATGCATATTGGCTGCAATGTGGCTAACATTGACACTGACTTTTCTTACTTCGATTGCAGTGGAAGCCTCCTGCGTGCTGATAGCTTTGAAGAGTCTCATCATGGACGCCGCGCAGCTTACGGAGCTGATGAGCAGCCACGACTTCATGCAACTGCAACACCAGCTGCACCACAACAACAACAACTACAACACAGACGGCCACAACGGGCTGTCCTCAGAATCAGCGGAGGGGAGTTCGCGACCCGTGCGACGTGCCACCAGACGCACCTCACAGGTAGGTCTAAGGTCAAAAGTTGAAGGGCAAGGCCGAGCGATGCGGAGACACCTCAAGCCCGCCTCCTCTGTTCTCTGCTTCCAGCTAAGCAATAACACCTACGACCTGGAGATGACGGACTCCAGTTCGCAGAGCGACGACACGAGCGGTGGGGGTGGCAGCAGCAACGGCGGAGGCAGCACCACCAACACTGGCCTTCCGGCGGGCGGCTCCTTGGGCGGTCAGGGGGCCGCGGGACGAGGGCGGGGTCAGCAGGCCGGCTCCGGGGGCTGTGCGTCGGCGCTCACCCCCAACAGCGCCAACTCCAGCTCCTCGAACGCGAACTCCAACGCCAACCGACGGCGCAAGGGAACGCTGAACGCGAAGGAGCGGAACATGCGACGCCTCGAGTCCAACGAACGCGAGCGGATGCGGATGCACAGCCTGAACGACGCGTTCCAGTCGCTGCGAGAGGTCATCCCGCACGTCGAGATGGAGCGGCGGCTGTCCAAGATCGAGACGCTTACGCTGGCCAAGAACTACATCATCAACCTGACGCACATAATACTCTCCAAACGCAACGAAGAGGCGGCGGCCCTGGAGCTCAACTCGGGGGCCGTGGGGGGCGTGCTGCTCTCCAACCTCGCCGCTGAGGGAGGGGGCGCATCGGGAGCGAATGGCATCTCCGCCAGCGCCAGTGCCGCTCCCCTCTGCTTCGAGGACGCCCTCGCCGGCGGAGGCGCCTTCGACTGCGCCCTCCTGGCGACCACCGACGGCAGCCTCCTGAACGCCGCCGTGAACGCCAGCCCCACCATGCAGAGCCTCCAGCCGCAGGCGATGCACATACAGGCGCCGCTGGAGCAGCAGCCGCAGCAGAGCAGCCACCACCCCCACCACCAGCAGGCGATGCACGGCCACGGCCAGAGCCACAGCCACAACCAGAGCCACAACCACGGCCACTTGGGGCACTCCATGATGCAGGCTGCGCAGCAGCAGCCCACGCTCCTCCTGAATGGCAGTGCGTCAGTGGGCGTGGGCGTGGGAGTGGGAGTAGGCGTGGGAATCGGGGTGGGAGTGGGCGTGGGCGTGAACAGCAACGCCTCCAGTTTCACCGATATCAACGATAACTTCGACGAACCTTACCGGGAGTTTCTGTAAGCCAGCTTTCGGGCGGGGTTGTGGGATCGCAGAGAAGTTATTCCAGAGAAGGGAGCACACACGTGCAATCCAAAACCAACAATTATATCCTTTTAGGGGATATACGAAAAAACGATATTTATGGATCCATTGAGTTATTTAAATTTCAGAAAAGTTGAATTACTTAATAAACATTTTTGCAATCAACTTTCTCTGTAAATAATTTATTATACGCGGAATCGCAATAGAATTCGCTCAACTACTACTTCCAGTTGCAATTTTTATGAAATAATATAGGTCGAAAGGAAATGCTTGCAATTATTTAAGGTGTGTGGCTTATAAGATTATCACGTTGGGGCAACGTCTATGATTCGTTAATCCTGAAAAGTAACGGTTAATTAATAATGTTTCTTATCACGTATTTATTTTGACGTTTGCGCCCAACATTTGTTCTTTTATCTTCATTTTCATATTCTTGTTTTTAATTTATATTCTGTATGATATGTTTTATTTATGTTTTATCACCCAATTCTAATCTAATCGCTATTTATCAAAGTTTGGTCAAAGTTTGTTTATAACTATAATTTTATTACATCTAAAACTAGTTATGCTGGGTCTTTAGGAATTTTCTATTTGCCCAAGGAACACATTTTTGAATTAAATAAAATAACTTTAACTTTTTGATTTTAAATTGGCGGATTGACTAAGTTGGTGGGGTCAATATCAGAAATACCTTTTTAGGTAAAACGTTTAAATTACTAACTTGAAATATCAAAAAATATACGTATACTGTAAGTAAGAAATCAAAAACCATTTAAAGAAGCTAATATGAAAATGTATGCTCTCCAAATATTTTTAAGATTGATTAATTATAACGAATATGTTGTAACATTTCAGAATGTATATATGTACCTACTTTAAAATACATTTATTCAAAGGAAGGAAATTACAAAAAACATAAAAGCGTTATTTAAAGTTATTAAAATATTTTTAGGGGACTATACGTAGCTCGATTGTTTTCATATTTTTCACTGTCTCTACATTTTTTATTTAGCTTTTTAAACTGCATGATACCATTATAATGATTTTCAAGTTAAATTTTCTTCCACAGAAGTTTCTATAAATTCACATCATAAAACATATTAATTTTCAAAAATTTTGATATTCTATATTATATTTGGTCTTTGAAAGTTTTTTGCAAATGGAAAGTTGTGAGTTTTAAGAAAATGCTTTCTTATTGGAAATAATGGCACATTTGAATGGCTTCACAAAAATTGCATCGCCCATTAAAACTGTTCATCAAAAAAACGATTATAGTCGAGGCACTCAAATATGACATTTCTTCTTTTTCACAACCCATAAAAAACATTTTTTTTGTTCCAGAAAATTACATTTCTTTATACAAATATTAAATAATATTTTTTGCAAAAGGAAAACATTTTGTAGATTTAGAGATAAAGTTGTTTGATCTAAGAAAAAAATTGCAACCTCATTGTCAGATCTGAACTAAGTACAGCTCTAAGCTGTTCTGTGGCGTCTCCAACACGCATACATTGGATCCATTCATTTCTATAAATATGTACATATAATTGTCAGCAAAAGCAACAAAAACAAGGAATCAATTACCGTTAACTAGCAGTGCTGGCGTCTGAGGAACGACGGTCTAGAAAGTGACGCCCCGATAAGTTAATTTACCACCCATGATCTTTTTAATGCACTTGAAACTTACCATGGGCGTATGAGTGGGATAAGGGGATCGGCGGGGAGAAAGAGCGGGCAGCAAAACAATTAACACACCGAAACGTTGAAATTGGCACACTTCCGTTATGGGTGACCGTACTAAACTCGCGGTGGGCGGGAAAGGGACACCGATAGTGATGCTCGGACGGTAAACAGTAATAAAATAACGGTGCTCAATGGGTGGCAGTGTCGGGCTAGAGTGAGAGTGGGTGGTTGTGTGCCTGAGTAAGGGAGGCTGGGGTCTTAGCAATAATTAAGTAAGATATAGTATTTGGGGGTGGGTATCCCCTCTCGGGTGTCGAGTAAAGCTAGTTGATTATGTCTGATTAGTCAGGATTTCGAATTTCGGGTTAGTTCGTGAGAAAAAAACCTACACAATTCTGTTGAAAACATATTTCTTGATATAATATATAATCAATATTCTAAAATGTAATTTTTTTTATTTGGACCAAAGTGTTGGCTGCAAACGCCATGTGGTAGCCAATAGTGTCTAAAAATCTGATAAAATGATTATGGGTAATTCACTTTATCCGTTTTAAAAATTCGGTTCTTATTATTAAAAACAGGTGAGTTCTTGCGTTTGCAGTACTTTACTAGGCTTTAAAAGACTCTTTCGAAGTTCAAAAATCCATTTTTTTTAATTTCCCGACAGATATCAGCCAGAATAAAAACAATAAAAATAAAATTGAATACCCTCCGAAATAGTGGCAAATAAGTTAACGTGCACCACCTGAAAATGATAAAAAAAAAACCCGAAAATTTATTTCTGCTTACGCGCCTGCAAAAGATATTATTAATAATTTGGTAAAAACAGTGTTAAGCTAACTACCCCTAGGTGTATATGTCAAAAAAAAAAAAAAAAAAAAAAATTATTACCCTACATTTTTATAAAACATACTTATTATTTATATTTTGTTAATACCTAATGTACATCATCATTTGCTCCCAGCTGTACATCAATGGATAGATTAAATCTTTTAAAAGTTAAGGGCCACTTTGAAGAATTAAACTCATACATGTAACTCTAGGTAAATAGAAGAGGAAAGGTGGTATGTAGGCTTAGGCACCGAAAGTACTGACTAAGGTCCACAGAGCAATATTCATAATCGAAAAGTATTTTCGGTGTCGGAAGAGTCACGAGTTACTCTAGTCAAATTCTGTTGCGCAAATTATAACAACAAATATTCGTTACTAATGGAAACTGCAATATAGACGTCTAGCAACCCCTTAGTTGTGTAATGTATAAGTTTTCCAACAAAGTCAGTCTATTATAAAAAACCCAAATGCAAGAACGTAATAATTAAAATATATATCCCGAACTGTACATTATTAAGGGACAAATTTAATGAGCATTTGTTGGGTACAAGTAAAAAATTATATACATACATGTTTATTAAATCCATGTAAAAATATGCTATCTATTGACTAGCTGTATATCTAAGGTGCAAAGCAAAGATTATTAAATAAAGCAAAAAGTTAAAGTATAAAATCATTATGTATTTTCATTGCGTGCTTTGTCGGCAGTCGCATAATTCCAGCAAACTGTTAGTAAGATTCTTTCTTAATTTTGTCAGATGGCTTAAACACCTGATTGCGCTAAGCCTTAGAACCTTGCAGGGCGAGGGCACAAGGTCGTATGGAACATCTTTTGAGCCGCGTAAAAGGTGAGAGCTTAAAAGCGTTGATGAACACTGGACGTGAACGCGGCGAAATGAAAAGTAACGAGATCATCGCGGGCTATGTAAAAAAGTTGAATGATGGTGCAAGGAAGAGTTTCAACACTAAAACTCGAATATGTTTTTAGCGAAAATGGTGACGTTCGTCGAACCTTTGAGCAATAAATCGAGTCTGCTAAGCGAATCGCCTGACTGACTATAATCAGACAAAGCTACAGTGGCTTGCGTAAAAGGTATTGAAAGCGTTAAGTCTTGGATAATAGAGTCAAAAATCCTAACCTTTTTATCACATTATTCAGTAATTTTCGCATATAAACAAGCTGTGGGCAAAGGTAATTTATTAATGTTGGAATAAACTGTAATATTTCCGTACTGCAAAACCTTAATAAAGAAAAACTGTTACGCTCTGTGGCGATCGACCATTTGTTAATGTGCTTCAGGTAGTAGTAGCCGTTAAATTAGTCGATACATACGTACATGAAAGTTAGGTTATCTTAATGTACTGTAAGCAAGTCGTAGTAGCCATTCTGTTTGCGTAGGTACCGATGATTCAGTAGCCTGTTAAGGCACATACAATTATTCTGCAGTATACCAGACTGTTATTCCATAGACCGTAGGCGATGTTTGCCGTCTGTTTGGACAGTTTGGCATGGGTGAAGAATTGAAAATGACTGTAGCTTCAGACACGCCGCGGTGTTAGCACCGGAGCAGAATAACGCCCAATGCCCAGAACAGTGACAATGTCCAAAAGCCTGGTGCCTGGATTAGGATAATAGCTGATATTGCCCTCAGCCAGTAGCGCGGTGGGTTCTGATTCAAAGCAGGGCTGCGAGCCCATGCAATTTCGGTTGTGGTTCGTTTCGGAGTTTGAATCTACCCACAACATGTACTTCCGGTTTGCGCACCGACTACTTCCAAGTGGTGGAACAAGGTTCAGGTTCGAACCAGGGTTTTAAAATATAATCGTGTTTGTCGGTTTATCTGTAAAAGCTGCGTTAGCTCCACAATACACTTTTACCCGTGTGTCTGTTTCGTATATTTGCAGTTTTCTATGTTATGGCCTGTGGGGAACGTCTGTTGTCGAAATGTGTAAATTATACAAATTCTCTATTTAATAGATCTTAACAAGCCAAATTAACTCCAAGCATTTCTTAAAATGTATGCCCCGGAACCAATTAAATTTAAGGTCATGATCATTTTGACCTATTTCAATAGTGGTTAACGAGCTTGAGTCCATTTTATAGTCTTTAAGTTTCGAATTCGATTACTCTGTCCATTAGATGTACTGGGTACAGTTGCTTAGCTTTATTTAAAGTTCTTGAGCTTCTATTAAGGTTTTCTACCAGCCAAGTCAAAATTTTCCAAAAATCCACCTAAAATTTCAGCTCCCGATTTTCCAAAATGTTGGCTTGACTATTTAAGTTTTTTTTTTGCAAAAGTTAAACTTTGTCTTTATTTTGTTTCTTTTGATCGGTATAAGATATCGCGGGGACTGGTTCGGTAATCTACACTTACATATATTTCCTTTCACTAGTCAGGAAGTAAAAAGTTTTTTATACTTGTTGGAAGGTAATTATAAAGTTATAATTAGGATCATAATACGACTTGAACTAGTCTTGTCTTCCTCCCCATCCGTCCGGATCAACGTTAGGATCTTGGAAATCATAAAATCTTTAATATTTCGCTCAAACGCTCAAATTATTTTTTTTTTTCGTACAGCGTTTAAGATTTGGAAGTTCGCTAGCTTGTCGAAGTTATTTGCTTTCTTGTTTATTTTGGTACTATTACCTTCCGAAATAAAAATATGCGTTTTATGTAGTTATAAACAAAAGGATGTCGATGTATATAACCAATAAATTATCGATTTTGTGGAAAGATTTCTTTAATCTAGTAATAACACAAAAATGGTTTGTAAAATCGTAAAACGAAAACCAACAGTCCGTTAGTGGTAACAGTCGATTTAAGCCTTGAGTGTGCCGATGGCTGTGAAAATATCGATTATGTGAACTCCCACTAACCTATCGATAGAGCTATCGGGGCAAAAAGAGACAAGAGCCACTTTAAAAACATCCATCAAAAGTGTTGTTGTTCCGATAGAACGCGGCGGATAAATTAAACGAAACATCAGTGTCTTGATTATAGGCAGGTATATACACAACGGGGTGGATATAAAATAAAAACGTAAGTGAGGACACCAATTTGTAAAAAAAGTGCAACCGAAGCAATTGTGTATGCCAGGTTGTGGTTCAAGAAACCTAAAGCGGGGGAGGGTGGCCGAGTGTGCAGTTATTTCTTCTATTCAGGTTCAGGGCTTCCGCTCCACTTTGCTGGTTTTTGTTTTGGTTTTATTTGTGCTGTCTTCTTCTGAGACCTATCTAAATTGCGGAGCGTGAAATCAGTAATGTGTGTGTGTGCCAGGTAGCTTAAGTTTTAAGACAAACCTTCATTGTGCCCGACGCGTTTGTTGTGTTTGTAACTGTGTTTGGCGCTCCAATTAGATGCAGTTTATTAACCCCTTGGACCCCGCATTTAAATTTCCGTCATTTAGGGTTTGGAAAATGCGAAAGCGGTCAGGAAAAGGCTGTAAGGGGCGTATGGGTATTCCCTGCTTATGTCCGATGGTCATGCCTACTTTCGGGATTCCGGTATCATTATGCACACAGGCACCCGAACACTAGACGTCCAGCCCCAGTAACCCCATACCTCTTTCGCTTGGTGGGAAAGTCCCCTTAATACTCCCAAAGGTGGGAGCGCGAACAAACGGGCATGGCACAGTGGGGCAAATTGCGGAGTTTGATTCTAACGTGCATTGATGAGAAAACCTTAAATCGTGCTTGTAAATCGTTTGAATTCCCTTTGCTTTTGTCTTTAACTGCCTTTTGGGATAGATACTTTTATTGGTCTTAATTGCGAATAATTGGCTTAAGCGAAAAGACTGATTCCTTAGGAAATACAGTGGTAATTAAAAATCATATGAGGCATCGTAATATATCCCTTGTTATACAACATTAAATTTATTTGGATACGACAGCTTTCAAATAAATACAGATATACAAAATATACGAAATTAGATATAAAATATGCGAAATTATAGTTTATTTTTTACACGTGGTAGCTGACATTGTGAGCAACATAAATACATTAAAGCAATACATTAAAGAACTAAGTTTTACTTGCAAGGTTAAAATCGGATCAAACAAGCTTGACTTATATTCCTTTAAAATTTTTAATGCGAGTTATACAAACTACAGTAGAATCCGCTTATAGCGACTTTCAAGGGACCGACGATTTTTCGTCGTTATACCCGGAAGACGCACTAAGCAGAAGGATTTAAGTGTATAAGTCAGTCTGGGGACCAATCAAGCCATCGAGTTTTCGTCGCAATACCCGGACGGACACTATAAGCGGAGTCGTTACAACAGGATTCTACTGTATTTGTTTACATTCAAAACAAAAGATAAATTAATGGTAAAGGCTTATTAAGACTTAATTTTTATCTGCAAGGGCTTTGGTTGCCAAAGATAGCATTCTTTTTTGTTGTAAGTGATTTTTAAATAGAAAGTTAATTGACGATTTTAAACCAAGGTGTCTAACAGCGTCGACTAAATGTTTAATGAAGGGCCTTTTCATTGTCCTGTATACGAGTGGGTTACTCCATATTCTCGTTGTGCGACAGGTGCACATGTGAAATTTTTCCCTGGACATTTATTTATTGACTTTTGATTAATCAAACCGTCACACTAGATGGTAGCTATAAGCGACCACCATTCCACCATTGACACAATTTCAAGACGATCGATTTTTTCGTGCCACTCGACTCCAAATACTTGGCTTCGGGTAAATATTATGATTTCAGCAGAAAAAGGATTGGTTTTACTATGAACTAGAGATCAGTTAGGCACAACATTTTCTTAGCAGCCTATATTAAGTTTATCATGTAGTTACATTCAGTGGATCACCAAAACACTTCATACATTTTTCTGGCATATTATATTGTATAATTTGTTTAATGTTTTTAAAAGTTCGATTTCAAGAACATTTGTTCAACATCATCAAAATGTAAAATGTTTTCTTTAGGTTCTCAGTTATATTTAATATTTACAACACAAGGTGCATAGCATTGATTTTAAAGCATGCTCGTTCTTAATTGAGGTCCGCCCTTGTACTTAGTACTTAGTGCCCTGTGGTCCCTTTGCCGACGCCCCATTAGTTGAAATGTAATAACAAATAATAATGCGCCGAAAACTAGGCCACACGAACACAATGCACCCAAACGAAATGAAAATGGCAAAATTCCCTCAGCAAATGAAAATGGGCCTTGCTTCAGAGCCTTGTACACATTTCGCTTGGGCGGGGAGATATGTGGGAAAGGGTTGGGTCAGGTAAATGCATAGTTAATCCGTAGAGAGACAGATTGCGGTGGTTCAGGGTGCTCTGATTTGGTTGTTGGCTTGGTCAGAGTCGGCGTCGTCGCTAACCACTTTATTGATTTATGGTAGCCGTGTTCCTGTCCAATCGATTATTATTTCGCTTTAACCTCTTTTATCTTACAGTCCGAATAAGCCAGGCAGCTAGAAACGAAGTAACAATTTTCGGAGTACGATGGCATCCGGCGGCTTAGCATGTGTCAAATACTTGACATTCTTCTGCAACCTTCTTTTTGCGGTAAGTTGTTGACATATTAAATGACGTCTCAATTTATCAATGCGTCACCTTTAAGCTATTTAAGCTCTTAATATATGTATATAAATAATGGAAAAAAATTATAACGTCCATTATTTATTTTCAGCATTATTTTCAAAATGTGGAGTGTTTTTTTAACCCTTAAATCGAGAAAAAATTTCATTGAAATCCGACAACGTTATCATAGGAAATATCGAAAAATCTATACAGAAATAACGGAAATAAAAGTATAACATCGTTGTTCTTCATCAGACAAGCACCATTTTAGGAATATAAAGTTTTTTAACGACTCTTAAATTACGAATTAAATTTAATTAAAATCGGATGACTAAATCATATAGCTGCCATATGAACAATAGTCGAAAATATGGAAAATTAATAGAAAAATCGTCAATGCTACCAGGTTTTTTGTTCGACATATTTGATGACTGCAAGGGTATATAAATCGGCAAGCCGAAGCTAGCTTCCTTTATTGTTTTTATATTATGCAAGTATGATTTTTTGGAATATAAAGTTTTTTTAACGATTAAATTAAGAAAACAAATTTCATAAAAATATGACAACTTTATCATATTGCCGCCCTAGAAAGATGGAAAAATATAAATTAAATTAATAGGTAAATTTATAAAATCACTGTCCATGCGGCGTTTCAGCCCTGCTGTCTAAACTGATGCCGAAGCTTAAAAGGTGTCACGCTTATTGACATTGTTATCTGAATAACTACTAACTGATACATCTGTAGTAATATTTGACTGTCTACGCTTTTAATTTTGTTTTATCTGTTCGATCATAAAATTGCGTAGATATGTACATATGGTGTTTTACTGGAAGACGATTTTTTTTTAAATATCTTCAGAAAAGTTCTTTCTTATGTGTTGAGCGATCCCAAAACGATTCGATTTATTTTGCACCACTAGAATATTTTAATTTGGATATTATTATTTTATAAAGTAGCCAAATCCATTTTTAATCATCGATGCGTATCATTAGAAATATAATTATAACCTTGGTCATGTCTTATCTAATCCAGCTCACTGGACTTCTCATTTTCCTGGTGGGAGGCATGGTTCAACTGAACTATGCTCACTACTCGAACTTTGTCAGCGATCACATCTGGACCGCTCCTATTATACTGATGATTGTGGGCGCCGCCGTAGCAGTCATCTGCTTCCTGGGATGCTGCGGTGCCCTGAAGGAGAGCAGCTGCATGATTCTTAGCTTCGCCATACTTGCTGTGGTGATCTTTCTGTTCGAGATCGGGCTGGGCTTCGCTGGTTATGTGAAGCACACCGGTCTGCAGCAGCTTATGGAGGGTCAGTTCAACTCGACCATGAAGCACTACAAGGAACGGGACGACTACAGCGATGCCTGGACTCTTCTTCAGACCGAGCTAGACTGCTGCGGCACCTATGGACCAAGCGATTGGGAAGGCATATTCCCAAACAAAACTTTGCCTCCGGCGTGCTGCTCGGTTATTAATTTGAGCGAGGCCAAAGAATGCACATCCGTCCACGCAACTCAGCAAGGATGTTTGCAGAAACTTCTACATATCTTGGATTCGAAGACACTGATCTTGGCATCCGTGGTTTTGGCAGTAGCCGGTATTCAGGTAAGTCGATAAAATATCTAGATGCTGTTTTTGTACTTACAAATAAATGTTTCCACAGATGCTCACCATATTGTTTGCTTGCTGTCTGTATCGTTCGTTTCGCAGGAGCTACGACCACGTTTAAATTGCGTAGCGAGGATCCCGTGTGTCGTCTCTAAATTGGGAATTTTCTTACTTTGTAGTTGTCATACACAGGAAAAGTTTAACGTTGGCGTGTTTTGATTGAATGCAATAACAAAAGCTACCTAGAAACACTCACTTTCATAGAAAAACTCACATTAATCACTGGCCGTCGAACGCTAATTAGTATATTCATTACTATTGAACTTATTTTGTTTTACGTTAGTTATCCGTATTCATCTGACAACAAGTGGTACTCGACATGAGCAGACAAACAATATTTCCTTCCAGTACTTTTATATTTTCTTTTTATGTTTACCACTCACTTTAACGCAGATCCTGTGGGAAAACAAAATTATAAAACCTTGCACTCTTGCATGGAAATTTAAATTTCGTTTAAGATATATATTATATATATTTATTACTGGAATGTGAGCATTTTTAGCTACCACTCAATCACGTGTACATTTAAATTCATCTTTGTTGAACAAAAATAAAATTGTCATTCATTAAATAATGAACGTGCCCTTTTTCAAGATTTGTATGTGTTGTATTTAGGACACGTTAGGCATTTATCTTGAATGTTAAGAAACCACCAATTTTGAAGTTTTATATAACCAATGAGTCCTTTTTTAACAACATTTGTATTACAATGAAAATGGTTTACAATAAGCGGCTTTAAAGATTAACAGTGTCACAAAAACCAATTTTTTAATCTTTCACAAATAAGTCTATGCATGATTACATTGTGGAATATATAAAGATCGATTGCAAATGTGAAACTGGAACATGAGTGAAAATTTGAAGACCAATTGCTCGTTGAGTAAAAAAGCATACTGTATTAATTACACAGTCTTTAACAGGCATTAGGAAACGATTTGTAGTTCTCGGCGTCATTCAAATAAACATAATTGTATCGAATCAACCCTAACAGGATTTATATATGCGCAAGGTCGGAAACGACTTGAAACTGATTTTCATATTGATCTTCGTTTTAGAATATCTTTTTTTACTATATTTTTATTTTAATTTCTTGTTTACCAATGGTATATTCCTTTACATACCTTTAAAAAAATTTAAACATTTTATCCCAGACTGGAAAATGATAAAAATCGAATTTAAAATTTTGATATTGAACTACAATATATATCGTAAAATTCTAAAGCGAATCTGCACTTTAATCTGGAGGCTTTAAAATAGACGATCACATTAAAAATGATTATATCAATGCAAAACGTATTATACTGCGGCATATTTGCAAAACATACTATATAATTGTCTACAAGTCTACAAGCTTAATATTACGACTTATATACCATTTTTAATAAATATTTGTATTCGTATTTAATACTATGTTTCAATAAATGTGCAGCACTGGAAAATCAATCAATAAATAAACAATTTTAACTCAAAATAACAATTAGATAATGTATAACAAAACAAGAAATGAAGCCCTTGCAGTCATCAAATGTTATTTCATTCTCTCGTATCGGAGCTATCTTATATAGTCAGCCGATCCGGCACGTTCCGACTTATATACTGCGTTCAATAACTACACAACTTTAAAGAAAGTTTCAGAAAGATAGCTTCAAAACTGAGAGACTTGTTTACATACATATTTCGATTCTGATCGGACTTATTTCGATTCTGCTGATCAGGAATATAGGACTCTCCTTCACTTCGTTGCAAACTTCTGACTGAAATTATAATACCCTTTGCTCTCCAAGGGTATAAAAGGAAGAGAGCTATGCCTTCAAATCTTTAAACAAGATAATCTATAGTTTCTTGGTTCAGTACTATTGGTTATTTACAAAACCATAAGTTGAATTTTGTTGTTGTGTGTGTGCAATCTGATAATTATATAGTTACCATGTTGGTTGCCATTAACAACGTGGCAAACTTTCTTTGTTTGTTCAATAAAAAAAACTAAAAAAAAGTTTAAGTGTGCTATTCCGCAGCTGTGTCAAGAAATCTTTGCTCCAATCAAAAAAGATTCAATATATTTTTTCAGTAGCTCAAATTTAAAATATCCTAATTTAAATAAAATGTCACAGGGAACCGCAACAGTGGCCCCACGAAAAGAGATAACCGGCCTCAACCGCATGACTCCTAAGGGCTTAAAGGAGCTGTGTAAAAAGAATAAGCTGTACCAGACTCCGCGTTTAAACGATGTGCTCTACTTGCATTATCAGGGTGAGTGTTCCAGTGGCCCTAGAAAGCAGAGAGCTTGAAATGTTAGGTGTTCTTTCAGGCTACCAATGCATCGAGTGCTTGGAGGAGTACACAGAGCTCAAGTGCCTGTGGCTGGAATGCAATGCCATTTCTGAAATCCAGGGCTTGGAGCAACTGACAAAGCTGAAATGTCTCTTTCTTCAGAACAATCTGGTTACGAAGATCGAGAACTTGGAACCATGTCGCGAACTAGATACTTTGAATCTCAGCTCTAATCACATTCGCAAAATACAGAACATCGGATCCGATATATTGCCGGTTTTGAACACACTAAACATATCTTCGAACTATCTGAAGGACAGCGAGAGCCTATCCGACCTGGTTCATTGCAAGACACTGTCAGTCCTGGACTTGGCGAACAATCGAATAGACGATATTTTGGTTGTGAAAGTGTTCGAGCAGATGCCCAGTTTGAGGGTCTTGGTGTTGCAAGGAAACCCAGTAGTGTCTAGACTTCCCCAGTATCGTAAGACATTGATACTTGCCTGTGTAAGTTTTCAAGCCCGCCAAATTTTGTAGGTGTAATTTATAGATTTTTTATTAGAAAGAGCTTACTTATTTGGATAGTCGACCCGTCTTCCCCCGAGATCGAGCATGTGCCGAAGCCTGGTAAGGTTTTAATCTATTATTTCTTAACTGAAGACCGTCCACTCATAGACTGGTACCTTATAATCGAGGTATACTTATGGTATACCATTTATATTGAAGACGTAGTCTTGCATTGTACTAATAATAAGTCCATTCCTCTTTCAGGAAGCGAGAGGGTTACGAAGGGGAGCGCAAGGAAAACAACCGCTGGAACCGGGCTGAGCGCAGGAAAACGCGCGAGAGTGTTAACTGTAAGTGGAAGCCAAGAATTCAAAAGTCGTGGTGCAAGCCGTCATTATTTACAGGTACCATACGCATGCGCAACCGCCACCACCCACCCGACGAACAATACCCCCTGCTGAGGTCGAGCGATTCGGAGGACGATGCTTGTGCTGAAAGGAGTCGCAAAAGGGCCGAGCTCGAGAACGGCGGAGTCGACGATTTGTGGGACGAGGTGTCGGGTGAACAGCCCAGCTCGGATCACGGTTCTAGCAGTTCTAGCTCTGCTGAGGGCAACGAGAGTGTAGGATCTCAGCACGATCACATCGCTGAAAAATTGAGTAACCGCAACGGAAGGTACCTCGAGGGCCGTCCAAAAGTCCTGTACGAATCTGACTTGGGAAATGAGGAGTCAGTCGAGAAAGAGCCGCCTAAGATATCTTCGGAAACCATAGAAGCCATTGGGGGTGAAGCCATTAATCAGAATGAATCTGGCAGAGAAGAGGACAAGGAAGTTCGTGTTCCCATAACAGTGGCAAAGCTAGAAGTAATAAATATTAGAAGCGAAAAGGGTGACAATGATGATGCAAGTGTTTCAGGAAAGGACTCAAATGTCACAAGTCCCTCAGAAAGTGATGAGCAACGAGAAGAGGCAGAGCTGACAGTAAATACATTTGAACAAGTTGTTGACGTTGAAGTCGATAACATGGAATCCCAAAAGAAGCTTTCAAGTCGCCCCTCAGACAGTTGCTCGGATCTGGATAGTACTGAAGATCTTGAGAGCACTTGCCAAGCCCTGAACATTGTAGCTCAAAATGATGAACTGGGCGAGGATCCCAATATAAAAGAGATAAAAAGCAAACTGGTCGCTGACATGTACGAGAGCTTTGGAGCTGATAGCTATGACGAACTCGACGAACCTCTCGAACTGCTCCTTGATGAAGATACACAAAATGTATATCCAGAAGACAGACTGTTTTGCGAAGAAAAAAAAACGCCTCGGGATTTGTATCAGGATTTCGAGGAGCCCTGTTTTACACCTAAAACCAAAGAGCAAGAAGAATTCGAGCAGGAAAGGGCCATGGCCAATGAAAAGTGTGCCCACGACTTGGAAGAAATGGGCAGCCAAATGGAAGAGGATCTGGAAGAGCTCAAGCAGTGCACAAAGCATTTGGTCGAAAGTGTAAAGGACGAAACGGATCAAACGGACACTGAAACCGACGAGGAGGAATTGACTGCCCACCAGAATACAGGGTCTCCGCTTCTTGCTCAGCAATTCGCTGAACGGCGTAGGCAAATGAAGTTAAGAGAAGAGGAAAAGGCGCTGAAAGATTCGAACATGAAGGCCTCAAAAGACAATGATGAAAATGACGAGCAAGATCACTTGTTCGCTAAGATATTAGACGACTCCACGGATAATGTACCCAAGCGCGTTTTTGGATCTGGGAGTGACGCGACAAGTCAAACTTGGACACACGAAGAGTGCCTGCGTCAGTTGCCGCTCTCTGGGAAAAATGAAATTCTAATCCAAGACGATATTTTCAGCCAACCCATAACAGAAAGTACAAGTGCCCAAGAAGCTGAGGAAATTTGCTCCAGGATGGAGAAAAAGTTGGCTGCAGACGAGGAGAATCTGCGAAAGCTGCTTCAGGAACTGGAGGACGAGGCTGATGAAAAGTTTGATATTGAGACACAGGTGGAATTCGAGGAAGACATCACCATAGGGGCAACCGATGTTGCCAGTATCTGCACCTCCTTGCTTGGCGATATTATTGATGAGCTAACGTTCAATGAGATATTGTTGGCTCAAAAGCCGAAGAGCTTTGAGTTTGGGCCCATCGAATCCGACGAGGAGTTCAGTTACTCCGTGGAGCCGCAACTGTCAAAGTTGGTGCCGCCCGAGTTAGAAGACCCGGGCCGAGGTAAAAGCCTCCGCGAGTGCCTAGACACATTTTCGGACTTTGTCACTTCCATGGCGGATCCCAAGCTGCCGTTGATGCTTGGTCGTAATTCTAGCTCAGCTGTCGATAAAATTCGCGCTGCTCAAGAGTTGCTTAAGTCGAAGCATCTGGCTGAGTTTAACAACGAAACCGCTGAAAGCTTGGACGCCCAAATAGCGAAGGAAAACGAAAAGCGCAAGAGGCGCGTGGCCGCATCAGCTGCTCGATGTTTTGGTCAACGGGAGAAGTATGACGACACCTTGGAGGTGGTGGACAACCGGTTGATGGTTGTGAAAAAGGACACAGGGGAACTGGAGGAGTTGCCACCTCCACCAGCCTTGATTAGTGACACGGAGTCCGACGAATACGATACAGCCGAAGAGGATTACTCATCTGGAAGACAAGGGAATGGACAGGAAATGCGTCGTCCATGGACCACCCCCTATAAGCCAAAACCACGAAAGTCGGAGGAATATCTGGTGACTGAGGCCATGCAGCGATGTCAAATGGAGTCCGTCCTTCAAGATTCCCCAGATGAGAGTAAAGAGGACGATGTCGAGAACGATGCCGTTGAGGACGAGTTCTACTCACTAGAAGCTATGACGACTTTCAGTAGCCTGGACTCGGAATTCTTTCAGAAACTAGATCTCCAAAAAGTAACTAATTCCGAAGAAGCGGAGTCGGCCATTCAGTGCATGCGAAGCTATAACGAACTGAAATCATGCATGAGAGCTGGTTCAAGCGAGCACCAGCTAACCACTGAGGAAAAGGAGATGTTGCAGGAGATGCTCTCACAGTCCCAGTCAAACAGCCCCAAGTTAGAGGAGGAGGACGATCTACTAAAGAAAATGGTTGAACGTATGAAAGAGGTCGAGGAACGGGAGCGTCAGCTCCGGGAAGAGCCCCAAGTGGATCCCAAAGAGATGGATTCTATAAAGCTTTCCCTTGGTGGAACCAAGCTTTTCGAGTACAAAAGCCAAATTTCAGAGGCGGAGATCGAAAACTCAGAAATGGAAACCGAAAACTTGAAATTGGAAGGTAAGGGGGAAAATGAGGATGAAACCAAAGCGGAAAAAGAGGTCAGTTCTCAGGACAAGGAAAGCATCGATCCATTTGTCAAGTCCACTCGGTCAAGTCCAAGAAAAAATATTGACGACGATAATCAGTCTGACGTATCAACCGACTACGAATCTGGCGAGGAAATAATGGTAATAGAGCCGCCAAAACTACCCGAGGCAGTGCTGAAGACGTTTTTCTCTGACGGTTTGGAGACAGACAGGAAATTGGTGCACGATCTTGAAGAAGCAACTCGTCGAAACCTCTACTGCCCTCTTTCAAAAATTTCGCCCAAGTCCGATGAGAACTTATGCCAAATTGACAATCCATCGCCAGATATCCAATTACAAGAAACCGAAAAAGAAAAGAAATCGCCGCCTGAATCAGCAAGTTCTGGACCATCTGTGAGTGCTAAAGCCAAATGGGCCAAAATAGCTCAAAGATTACACGAGTTCCTTGATCCAGAGACGATCGCAATGTTAGATAAACAAGAGTTTGCAGAGAGCGATGAAGATGAAGAGAGTGAGGAGGGAACCTCAGGCTATGATTTGGAAATCACAGAAGATACTGAAAAAATACAAGCAGAAAACCCAAAAAAACAAGTCACTTCAGAGGAACACATCACAGATGAAAGCATTAGCGATGGACTATCATGGCTGGCTAAGTCGCACTCTCATATTGAGGAAACTGGAACAACTCTAATGTTCAGCGGGGAAGAGAACAAGGCATCTCCTACTCAAGACTTAGTTGGGGAAAACCCGACTGAAATCAAAGACAGATCAACTAATAAGGAGACTGATGAAGCATCGCTTGACGATAACGAAAAAACCCCAATCAGTACGAATTCCCCGATTATTACTAACAACGAAGCGGATACCAATAACCGCATTACAATGGACTATTTCGAGGCCCAGGAACCATCCGAAGCCGATGGTTTGGCGGACACAAAAATATTTAAAACGGAGCAAATTGAGTGCAACCTTGAGATTCTGAGCGAAGATGGAGACGTTGTGGTGAAGGAAGTCAGTGTCAGTGCTCAGGTCACCTATAAGTAGAAATCGCTCCAGATTATTGGTTAATGTTTATGTATACCAGTTGTACCATACTTCATTTGAGTAAATTTATGAGCATTCCAAAAGCACAAGCATTTTAAGTGCCCCACAATGATAAGGCGCGAAAAGTTCAACTTGAAATCCAGTTCGAACCGCTTAAGGGGCGTTAATCTGAGGAAATTAATAAAATGTAGAAAACACTTTCAGAGCGATTAGACGGACTTCGGCTATAAGGTTTGCCCCGACTGCCTATCAAAATTGGCACATCTCTAACCACCCGAAACCGGATCGCGGACTAATGGGGCATCGCGCAAACCGGTTTGCTGGCTGTTAGCTCGTTCTTAAGGGAGGGCAATCAGCCGGGTTATCACTTGGCTACCACTGATAACGCTGGGCACGACTGGCTTTTAGGGGCTATCAGTTATCAGTATTGCCAAGCGAACTGTATTTTACTTTGGCAGGCCCCAAATTATATGGACCAGGCAGCTTTGAAATGCGTGATCGACGTGATTTACTTTATTTTTATGTTCAAAACAAGCTTAACCTCGATTGCATAATGAGGTTTTGAAATTGACTCTTATCAGCTGAATTTTTTGGGACCTCCTGCATCGAACAGATAACAATTTTAGCTTGGTGTGCTTTCGTTGGTCAGGTGTTATTTAGAGTAAAGCACTGCCTTCTTTATACCCTTGCAGAGGGTATTATAATTTAGACAGATGTTTGCAACGCACTGAAGGAGCCACCCGTAAGGTATATATATTCCTAGAATTAACGAAAATAAAATTATTAAACCTTTTTTATCTGATAAGCATAATTTTTGCATTATAGAGTTTTCTAACGACTCTCGTATTACGAATTTAATTTTACCAAAACCGGACGACTATATCAAATAGCTGTCATTTCAACAATCGTCGAATATGTAGAAAATAGAAAAATCGTCATAGATTCGATGTTGTTTAGCCTCTAAGTATTTCGTTAGACATAATAGACGACTGCAAGAGTATTTAATTTACAGCTTGCCGAAACTAGCTTCCTTTCTTGTTATCATTTCAGTTCAACCAAAAAGTTTCCACTGCTCCGATGAACCGTCGAATTATGGGGTATCCACGTAAAAAAATTTGCCAGTTTATATTTAATATTTATGATTAACCTCGTTGGACTAATTTTAATAACGTGGGTCAGGGGATTTAGCAACTACAGTGAACTAAACTGTATTAGCACGATCAGATAGGTAACTTTAGCAGCCAATATCTGGAAATGCAAGCATCAATAAGAGTTCTCAAGCCAAGTATGTATATATAGCGTTACCGACCGACATTAGCAGCGAGTTGTCGATGTCCATAAAGCCCTCTGCATTGATGGCCAGCGAGTTTTCACCCACTTGCGTGATGAACTCATAGAGAAGCTCGATGTATGCTGGTTCCTGCAGAGGCGAGGGACTGCAGGCCAGGCTTCTGAGGTAGCTGCCAATTAGCGCATTCTGGTAAGAAACGGAAAACCACTTAGAGAGAGAGAAGGGGAGGAGAAAGTGCTGCGCAAAACATCTTTCTTAACTTCAAACAGGCTTGATTCGAATCGTTAAAAGGCAGATATAGCTTTAAGAAGGAATTACAATCGATTTGTTGATACTGACCTGCCTTCGGCAAAACTCGCCACCACGGCAAAGGGCGATGATCATGACCAATGAGGGTACGAAAACTGCGAAGGTGGCGTACAGGTACGTGTATTCATATTCATCGGCCAGCACCTGCTGGGTCCAGTAGATGTTGAGCGTACTGTCCAAGAAGAGCACCACGTAGATGCTGAGCATGGTCCAGCCGAAGAGGGCGTTGAAGTGGGTAAAGAGGTAGTAGAGCTCCATGTGGCTCTGCTTGAGTGCCAGGAGGAACTCCAGCGAGCAGAGTTGGTTGCAGTTGCCATCCAGAATGCAGTTGGCGCCCATCAGATGGCAGGCGAGCACGTTTTGGACTCTCTCGCCCAGAAGACCTACGTGGTGCCCCAGCAGCTCCACGTAGAGCAGCACCAGCAAGCACTGCACCCTTGTGACGAGGATCGACAGGAGCGAGGACCAGAAGTAGACGAGTGACAAGCTCAGAGACACGTAGACGACAGCCAAAAGGGGCACCAGAAAGCCGACTGCAAGCCCTATAATTTTGACGCACGACCTCTGGCTCAAGCTGCCAATACGAATTTGTAGCTCGCATTGAAGTCTGATCCCCAGGCTTTTTATATCCCTGCAGAACACGAAGTACTCATCGTACTGCAGCATAATTTGCAGCACGATGACTGTGGCGCACATGATTTTGGATGCGAACCCAATCATGTTGATCAAGATTGAGAGGAACAGCTCTTCGTTTTCAAAAAAGATTATGGAGATGCCAAAAATGGCAACATTTAAAGCAACTAATAAGCCCGAGTACACCTTCTGTATGTGCTGACGACTGGCACAGCTCTCAGAAAAAGGCACAAGGCCCAGAAGAGCGAAGTACTTGAGGAACGACTGCAGGGAGTACAGCATGCCGCGGGGTCAAATGCAAACTGGTTGCACTGCAGTGGCTTAGAAACCGCCTTCCGACACCAGCTGGCAGTACAGTAATTAGCTAATTGATCAGATTACATGGCTCAACAATCAATAGCTTCCCGCATTGGCTTCTGAAACATTCGTGTTGTTAAGTGTGTAAGTCATCCTAGTGACTGGCTTTGGAATTAGCCGCACTACGTAACTAGAAAATAAATCATTTCAGGGAAAGAAGACGGATTAAATTTCGATTCAATGGTTCCTACACCTGACGAAATTCAACTCTGCTTATAAGAAACGGAATGCACACCGTGTTGATAAGAAATCTGCTGTTTCTATAACTTAATTATTATGTATACGTAAATGAAAGCAACAACTGAAGCACTAACAAAGCGCGCCTAAGCTGCATACAGATTTTTCTATTTTTGTTTTCATTTTTAATCAGTTGATAACGATAATGAACTGCTGTGGCGCGCCAAGGTATAAATACGGCCCGGATTGTTCACACGATTTCAGTTGATAGTTTGCTGGCCCGGCAAAAAGTGCCAGAAGAAAACTGTGAAAACAAAATATCTCTGCTGAATGAATTTCTAAATACCCTCTCCAACTATGTCGGTTAGTGAGAATCCATATAAAAGTGTAAAGTGCAAAAAAATACAAAACAATGTTCAAAATTGAGTGAAAAAGTGATTTGTAATACATAAAACAAGAACAAAAACAGTACTTTGAGTATTTGTTCAACCAAAATGATAATTAAATTTTATCGAACATTGTCGTCTGATCTTACTGTTTTTCAAAGTCGTTAAACAAACTTAAAAATAATTGCAAGCTTTTCAAACGTTTCACGGAAAGGGTATAGAAAAAGTGATATACTTCTACGTTGACTTTCTTTAATTCTATGACTTGACTTAGTAAAAGTAATCTCCCTCCTGCTAAATACACCTCTTAGCTTAACCCAATCTAATTTCACATAAAACTTGATTGGCGGAAATTACTCTATCACAAGATAGGGTCGATGAGGTGGCGTATTATCGTGCAACAAACACCAAATAACACCATAACAATGGTTTGGTGAAACATGCTATTATATTAAACAGTGATATCAATAAACATAACCTTTTGTTTCGGAATTTACAACGTTGAAAAGAAAGATATGAACATTCCTGAAACGGGTTCAAAAAACTTGTTCTATCATTGTTTTACAAAACTAAATACTTGGAATCTTTTGAGAAACACCTTGTAGGCTATGTTTGTAAGCTTTACATTCAGATGGCTGGTTATGGACTATAGATCTCTTATAAAACTGGAGCTTCCAGAAGAAAGATTTAAAATATTCTATTTTCTTTGATTCAATAAATTCAACAAGTAAAATGTTTTTAAAAGATCCCGATTAGCACTAGACGGAAATTATTGAAACTTTATATAGCTATCAGTAGCTAGTTTTAATCTGTGAAGATCGAACTAAAACCCCCGCCAGTGCAGTTTTCGAGCTAGATTCAGTGGATTATAATATGCAGTTCTGTGAACGAGGGAAGACTGTACCTGAGGTCCTCTGACAACCTCTCCACTTCACTGTACTTGCAGGTTAAACTTAAGATTGCAATTATTGGCCAGAGCAATTTCGCCGCAGATGTTTTGGAGCTCCTGCTGGAGCGCTCGGACCTGCAGGTCGTGGGCGTCTTCACAATTCCGGACAAGGGCAGTCGCGAGGACATCCTGGCCACCACCGCCGCCGCCCACAAGATACCCGTGTTCAAGTTTGCCAGCTGGCGGCGGAAGGGCGTGGCTCTGCCCGAGGTCCTGGAGCAGTACAAGTCGGTGGGCGCCACCCTGAACGTGCTGCCCTTCTGCTCGCAGTTCATCCCCATGGAGGTGATCGACGGGGCGCCGCTGGGCAGCATTTGCTACCACCCGTCCATCCTGCCACGCCACCGCGGGGCCAGCGCCATCTCGTGGACCCTGATCGAGGGCGACGAGGTGGCCGGCTTCAGCGTCTTCTGGGCGGACGACGGCCTGGACACGGGCCCCCTGCTGCTGACGCGGCAGACAAACGTGGAGCCGACGGACACCCTGGACTCCATATACAAGCGCTTCCTCTACCCCGAGGGCGTGAAGGCCATGGGCGTGGCCGTCGACATGGTGGCCCGCGGCACGGCGCCCAAAATCGCCCAGACGGAGGTGGGCGCCACCTACGACCCGGCCATGTTCAAGGCGGAGAACCAGGCGGTGGACCTGCGCAGCTCCGCGGAGCGCATCTGGAACTTTGTGCGGGGCCTGGACTCCGTCCCCGGGGCCCTGGCCACCGTGCTCCACGAGGACGGGTCCGAGGAGCAGGTGCGTCTGTTCGGCGCCCACCTCTACGCCGCCGGCCCCGTCGCGGACGGTCGGCCCCTGCGGCTGAAGGGCCTGGACAAGCCGGCCTGGGTCCACGGCGGCGGGCTCCTCATCGAGGGCACCGACGGGGCCTTCGTCAACATCCGGCGCGTCAAGCGCGGCCCCAAGGTGATCAGCGCGGGCGAGTGGTTCAAGCAGGCGGAGCACCAGCCGATCACCGACTTCAGCGAGGACGAGCTGGCCAAGCGGGCCCTGCTGGCCGGGATCTGGCAGGCGATCCTCAAGGAGCCGGTCGAGCCCTCGACCGACTTCTTCGCCGCGGGCGCCGGCTCCATGGACGTCGTGCGCCTGGTGGAGGAGGTCAAGGAGGCCTTCGACGTGCCCCTGGAGAACGAGCAGGTGTTCATGGCGCCCGTGTTCGAGGAGTTCTTCGACCAGCTGGTCAGGAGCCTCCGCCAGGGCGGCGGGTCGGCTGGCCAGCAGCTGGACTTCGAGGGGTTCACGCTGCGGGCCAACAAGCGGGAGATCCGGGTGCCCACGCAGCTCTTCATCGACGGCGCGTTCGTGGACGCCGAGGGAAGGCGCACCCTGGACATCGTCAACCCCACCGACGAGGAGGTGCTCTGCCGGGTGGCCTGCGCCTCGGCCGGCGACGTGGACAAGGCGGTGCGGGCGGCCCACGCCGCCTTCCACGGACCCTGGAAGCAGGTCTCCGCCAGGCAGCGCGGCCAGCTGATGCTCGCCCTGGCGGATCTGCTGGAGCGGCACAAGGAGGAGCTGGCCACCATCGAGTCCGTGGACTCGGGCGCGGTCTACACGCTGGCCCTCAAGACCCACGTGGGCATGTCCATCGACGCGTGGCGCTACTTCGCCGGCTGGTGCGACAAGATCCAGGGCAGCACGATCCCCGTCAACCCGGCGCGGCCCAACAACGTGCTGACCTTCACCCGCAAGGAGCCCATCGGCGTCTGCGGGCTGATCACGCCCTGGAACTACCCCCTCATGATGCTCTCCTGGAAGATGGCCGCCTGCATTGCCGCCGGCAACACCTGCCTAATCAAGCCCGCCCAGACCTGCCCCCTGACCGCACTGAAGTTCGCCGAGCTGGCCGTCCGGGCCGGGTTTCCCCCGGCGTGATCAACGTCCTGCCCGGCAAGGGATCCGAGGCTGGCCAGGCGGTGGCGGACCACCACCTGGTGCGCAAGCTCGGCTTCACCGGCTCCACCCCCGTGGGCAAGCACATAATGAAGTCCTGCGCCGACTCCAACCTCAAGAAGTGCTCCCTCGAGCTGGGCGGCAAGAGTCCGCTGGTCATCTTCGCGGACTGCGACATCGACAAGGCTGTCAAGCACGTGAGTGTTTCCCTGAGCTCCAGAGGTTAGGGGTTATTTATACGTATATGGACAATGGCTAAAACGTAGTTTGCTTGATAATCTCCAAAGTCTTATTTCGATATTTGAGAAGGAGAAAAGGAAAATACAAAACCTTTTCAAAGATATTTAGATACCCTGAAATCTCGTTAAACACCTAATTCAATTGGTAAATATGAGAAACTAGAAACTTTATGTATTGTAAATGATACCGTTTCATAAGATGTTTATGTTGCTGTAAGGAAATATTATTGTGTTTAATGTTTGACATACATCAAAGGGTAAAAGTCGAATATCTAACATAATATCTTCATTTTATCGTCCAGGGCATGTCCTCGGTGTTCTTCAACAAGGGCGAAAACTGCATCGCAGCCGGCCGACTTTTCGTGGAAGACCGCATCCACGACGACTTCGTGCGACGCGTCCTCAAGGATCTGCGCACCATGACCATTGGGGACCCGCTCAACCGCTCGACTGCCCACGGGCCCCAGAACCACAAGGCGCACTTTGAGAAGCTACTCGAGTTCTGCCAAAAGGGGGTGGACGAGGGCGCCAAGCTGGTCTACGGAGGCTGTCGCGTCCCGAATCTCAAGGGCTACTTCTTCACGCCCACGGTGTTCACCGACGTCACGGACGATATGTTCATTGCCCAGGAGGAGTCCTTCGGACCCATCATGGTCATCTCCAAGTTCAGCGGCAGCGACGTCGACTCTCTGATGCTGCGGGCCAACCGGACGGAGTACGGCCTGGCCAGCGGGGTCTTCACCAAGGACATCGCCAAGGCGCTCAGCTTCGCTGACCGCGTCGAGGCCGGCACCGTGTTCATCAATGTATACAACAAGACGGACGTGGCCGCTCCCTTCGGGGGCTTCAAGCAGAGTGGCTACGGAAAGGACCTGGGCCAGGAGGCGCTCAACGAGTACCTCAAGACCAAGTGTGTGACCGTTGAGTACTGATCTCTCGGGAACCAACTCAGGCGGTGGTGGGCCAAGCCCAAGAGTGAAAAGACTTTGTATTTGCCTAGCTCATAGTTATGTACCTATACAGAACCCCTCTCTATCTAATAAAAACAGAAATACCGAAAGAAAGTAATTTGAAATTAAAACTTAGGATGGGAACTCCATTTAAATAGAATCAAAAAGGAAGCTATGAAGCTTTTACATGACCTTTTGGTTGGAATCAGAAAGTATGTATGTAGACTAGCCAATAAAATGGGTTTTTAAAAAACCCATTACTCATGGAGTCCAAGGCATAAAGAATATAATTATTCTTGATCGGAACCATCAGACGAGTCGATCTATGTCGGTCTTTCTAGAATATTTTGATTGAACATGAAGGCTCAAGGGATAAATATTCAGTAAAAGAAGTTAAGAAAAGTGCCACCCCTACTTTCAGCCCACAAGCCGCACAATTCCGTTGCGCTCTCAGTTATGTTGGCACATCAATTTGGTTTAATGATTTAGACTCTGGTAGCAAAATACAAATACGAATTTCAAAGTTTGCACGCTTACCTCTACGACCATCAGATTCTTGGGTGTTTCTAGCCGGATCTGTGTTAAACGCCGAGATTTGAGTGTGGACAAGCTAATTTAAATTGTTTATCAAAGAAACGCCTTTCTGACAGTATGTTTTCTTCAACTTATTAAAGTAGAAACAAATTCGTAAATTTATTTATTAGGAAAATTTTGTCGCTTTCAATAAAAAAAAAACAAATAAGAAGAAAGAATCGATTATTTGTAATGCATAAGCATTTGTCAAACATTTGCAGACCGAAGATGAACTTCTCTTGTCACAAAAGCTTGTACACACACTTTGGCTTGGCATTTGTTTGAAAGTTTAACTGCTCAGAAGCAACAACAACAAGGACTCAGACAGTTATAGTTCATACTGCTCATGATTCTTTAAAACTGGCCTTCCTTTGTTCGAATTTATAGAGCCTCTAATTTTGATAAGCTGTTATCCAATATGCAAAGGGTGGGAACACACTATAGTTCAATGCCATGAGCTTAAAGCCTTAAACCCATCAGAAGAAATGTAATAAGTTAATTTGGCAATATTGTGTTTAAAATGTTTAAGACACTGAATACCAAAAAGTTTCTTAGCGATATCTCGTGCTCTCTTTGTAGGAGAAATCATCATAGCAGGCTTCATTTTAATTACCAAAAATTTGAAAAGATAATAAATACAATCAAGGCGTCTGATCTAGCCTTATCCTACAAATAATAAAATCATATCAAAGAATTTAAAAGTCTTAGAGCTTTAATTGTTTCACAAAGTTCTATCATATCAGAAGAATCTGTACAAATTCTTAAATTACCCAAAATTTGATCTCGCATAGAGATCAGTGTATCAGAGTATCTTCAATTCGAAAGTCCATCTAAAAGTACAAAATAAATCATTTAATATGAGCAAAATTACCCAAAAAATAATGATAAAGCAGTTAAAGCAACACAATTAATGGGGATAAAGAAAAATTTAAAGATCTGCAATTTAGCTGACCCTATTGATCTCATTATTGAAGCAGATTTGTACACTCACATTCTGCCGAATGGAGTGGTTAAAATAAACGGTCTGCTTGGTCACAGAACTGATTTTGATTATTTCTGGATTTATTAAATACAAAGAAAAGAAAGCAATCTTAGCAACAACGAACAAATAAAATGATTTATATATACAGTAGAATCCTGTTATAACGACTACATCTTGTAGCTTCCAAAAGAGAGATCAAAAATATAACGAGATCAAATTATAACGCCGTTGTCACTTATCTTATACGGATAATTTTGGAAGATGGTTTTTTCTTACGATTCTTGACATGAAATTGTAGCAAATGAGAAAACTAATGGTAAAATCGCTAAACTGGAGAGTTTGAATAAAGTAATCTATTTAACTGAGGTTGTAAGAAACAAATTAATAATAATAAACATTTTGTTACTACAAATTTATAACTGCAAGTATAAAAAAAAATAGCTTCCTTTCTTGTTTAACAAGTACTTGGTTTTTGACTATAAGGTGCGAATATCACAACCTAGTAAGATCAGTTGAAAGTGTACATAAACTCTTTTCTGCTTCCATTACTTTTATATAGCCTTGATCATACCGAGGCGATTCAATTAAGCCAAGTTTTTTTGTTTCAACCGTTTGCAGTTTGAAAATTTGAAAGCTATTGATTTAAAAGGATCATATCAGAAACCCCAATAATTCAAAGCACTTTACCTTTAGCTGCAAAAGGAATGTTGATAACTGAAATTAACATAAAACAATTAGGAAAGATAGCTTTGCCAAGCCGAAGCTGGTAAACCATTTTAATTCTAACTTGTGTTTATATAACGACAAGTCTACTATATACGCCGATCATTACATCGTTGCAATAATAAATACAACGCCAGTTGTAGAACATGTAGTTCTTTTCTAGACTCGTCAAAGATATTCTGAAAATTAAATTTATTAAAACAAAAATTGTTAAATTAAAAAACCTTGTACCTTAAAACTAAATTACAAGATTATTTTGTTACTGATGAAACTAATTTTTCGAGTGATTTTATTTTGTTTGTTTTTATTTTTAAGGCCGTTGCTAAAAGCGCACATATTACATGGAAACATAATTATGATTTACCCAATCAATCATAGTTGAAATTGGTTAGTCAAATCAATTCTGAGCGGTGGAAAGAAACGATTGGTTGTTGATAGCGAGAAGGTTAAGAAATGGATCCTCAATTTAACTAAACTGATTATTGTCATTTTTTCGGCAACACTGCTTAAGCCAAAGCTAGTTACGTGTGAAATATATTTTTGTTTGCTTCGTTTAATTTTTATGTGATTTGAGAAAGCAACCGGTATCGGGTTGGAAATGAATTGCTGCCTAACCTCCACGACAAAGAGAAAAAATCAATAAATACCATAATACAAGAACCAGTCGAGAGGCACTCTCCCAATTGCTAACTCTTTGCGCCATTGCGCAGGACCAAAATGGATTCGCCGCGTTTGAAAATTGGCCGATGGAATAACTGGCTTGCCGCCTTCGTCTTCGTCGGACGCCTCTGGGACGATATTAGCCTTTGCGCTGATTCAAAGTTGTTCGTTGGTTGTCGTTGGACCAGCACGAATACTCTATGCAGCCACCGCATGAGCTGTTTTGTGTCCTGGTAATACAAATGCCATTGTTGGCAGGCAAAAATCCAGTCATGTCAATCGGTCAACTAAGAGTCCGTACAGCCAGGTCTTTACGTTTAACAGTTGGAAGTTAGATCAAAAAAGCAACTCTAATACGTGAAAATTATAGATAAATCAACCTGAGAAATTGCTGATCGATTAAATCGTCAATTTAAAACGATCGGTAATTGTGGATATTTGCCAGGAAGTTTCATACATCATAATATTTGCGCAAGCTTAGTTTTCCATACAGGACGTATAATTTTGTAAGCTTAACTTAATTTTCAAAGTTCAACTAATCTGTTTTAATCTGTAGTACTTTCCTAGTACATATTTCTCAAAAAGTAGGTATATACCTTTTTGATCAGTCATCGGATGCGTCAATTTATGTCTATCCCTCCGTAAGAAAGTCTAAATCTCAGGAACTTAAAGAGCTAGAATTTAAAAAAAACAAGAAAGGAAGCTAGCTTCGGCAAGCCGAAGCTTATATACCCTTGCAGTCATCAATTATGTCGAACAAAATGCATAAAGGCTAAACAACATCGAAGTTAAAACGATTTTTCTATTCATTTTCCATATTTTTGACTATAGATCATATGGGAGCTATACGATATAGTTGTCCGATTTTGATCAAATTTAATTCGTAATTCAAGAGTTGTAAGAAAACTCTATATTCCAAAAATCATACTTGTATGATGAAAAACAACGATGTTATAATTTTATTTCCGTTATTTCTATATAGATTTTTCGATCTTTCCTATGGCAGCTATAAGATATAGTTCTCCGATTTTTATGAAACTATTTTCTCAATATAAGAGTTGTTAAAAAACTTAATATTCAAAAAATCATGCTCGTGGGATAAAAAACAACGATGTTATCAATTTATTTCCATTAATTCTATATATATTTTTCGATCTGTCCTATGGCAGCTATATGATAGAGTTATCCGATTTTGATCAAATTTAATCCGAAATTCAATAACAGTTAGAAACCGCCATCTTGAAGAATTCAAGTCGATCTGATCAAAAACAACGGCTTTAGAATTTTTTATTTCATTCCCTCGGGAATGAGCTATCCGATATAGTCGGCCGATCCGGCCCGTTCCGACTTATATACTGCGTGCAATAACTACACACCTTTTGGGAAAGTTTGAGCAAGATAGCTTTAAAACTGAGAGACTAGTTTACATAGAAACCGACAGGAGGACAGACAGACAGACGGACAGACGTACATACATATTTCGATTCAGATTGTGAAGCTGATCAAGAATATATATACTTTATTGGGTCTGAGGTGTCTCCTTCACTGCGTTGCAAACTTCTGACTGAAATTATAATACCCTTTTGCTCTGCAAGGGTATACAAATTATAAAAAAATAAAAGAAAAATTATTTTTGAAAAATTCTTTTTGCAGTTACTATTATTTTTGTTTTATGAAACTTTTTGAATCCAAAAATTTAAGTTTTCAAGACGAGGGAAAACGTTTAAAAAGTAGATTTTGACAAAAATTGCCCTTTTCAATAAATATCGAATGAGTTAAGAAAAGTATGGTATCATTTAAACGGCATTTAAATTACCTTTCCATTGACACCAAAAGCTAAAAGAAGCAAGTTCAAGTTTCGAGTATGTTTCACTTTTATTTTGTCAAAATATATATAATTATGCCGACCAGTGTATATCGACAGTTTGATAAAAAATTATTACTTAAAGTTCAAGTATGAAGCTGATCTTGTTTGTATTTGATACTTAAGCTAAAGCTCGAACTTATATAATTTTAACAATCTAGTAACTGTATGGTTTATTTCTTTAAGGTTCTGGTAGCACGTTGCGAACATGATGGTGTCCTCCAGACGCCCAGCGGTGAGCCGCCGTTCATGTCCATCAAGGCGCTCATCGCTCACCATCAGGCGCTCAGAAGCTAGACACGTAGCGCGGAGCCGTGCTGGCCAACGAGCTGAGGAACAACGCCTGCAAGCTGACCAAGTGGACCGTGCAGGCCGTGCTGGCCGGGTCCGATCAGCGGAAGCTCGGCTACGTGTCGCGCATCAATCCTAGGGATCACTCTCGCCACGTCATCCTGGGCACGCAGCAGTTCAAGCCGCATGAGCTCGCCACCCAGATCAAACTGAGCATGGACAACGCCTGGGGAATACTGCGTTGCATAATCGATCTGGTGATGAAGCAGAAGGACGGCAAATATTTGATCATGAAGGACCCCAACAAGCCGATCATCCGTCTGTACGACATCTCAGACAACACATTCGACTCCGATGACTCAGACGATGGCGAGGGCGCCCCTACTGCGACGCCCCTACTGCAGCACCCTTCCAGTTTTGGACTTGAGCCACAACCCGCTAAACATAATCCCACATCTGATGGCTTCTGGAGGAAATCGCCCGGTTCTGGGCCCTAGCTTGAACATTTGTGTTCGAGATAAATCCAGCTATTTCCGTGTAAAGTCCAGAGGGCAAAAAATGTATGCTTTTTTATTTTTTGTGGTTTATGATAACACAAGTGATAAGGCTTTCATAAAATTAAATAATTAAAAAATGTGGTTCATCACGAAGACTGATAACAAACCTAAGCTCAGCTGAATTTTGTTAAAATATAATATAGTATGATTTCGAGTCTTGGAAGGTCAACATGTTTTTCGGACAAACGGTGTTTATATTACTTGTGCTTCAATTTTTACTTCTACCACTTTGCGGTAAATCGGGTTATAACAATCGGCAATGTTTATACAAACATACGTTATTACATAATTAGTTGTATAATAATTATTATTATTAGCTGCAGGAGTGTTAAACGGCACATTTAAAATGTTTTTCTCAATGCAAATCTTCACCAGCGTTTTCGGCTTGCCAACCGGAGGAGAAGTGCGTTCATATAACCTCTTGCCGATTTCTGTTGAGGAAAACGTATGGAACTTCAAGTCACCTGGGTTATTTATTGAGGATCAAGCCCTGCGGCTATCGTGAAGCTCATTTTGTTTGCTGCCAGGTGCTGCCGAAGTCCTGCGGGGAACTTCCACCCACTTCCAGAACTAACGCTTTTCCCTGGACGGTCAAGCTTCTATACCAAGATCTCTGGGACCAGGTCAAACCCTATACCCAAAGGTGTACAGGGTCCCTGATTAATAAGCGGTATGTGGTGACCGCAGCCCACTGCATAAATCTTGGGAGATTTATTTTAAAGATGGTGCGCCTGGGCGAGCATAAAATTTCGACTGATAAAGACTGTGTAAACAACTTATGTGCCCCACCATATCTGGATGTCCACATCGAAGAGAAAATCATCCATGAGGACTATGACAGCAACAGCCCCCACAACGACATCGCCTTGCTGCGACTCGTTAATCATGTGGAGTGAGTATTGACCTTTTGACTTGGTTCTTTTTCTCTTTTTTCGGATTTGCCATTACAAAATTATAAGAATTTTTATTTATGAAATTTATTTGTATCAGTTAATCATTTAGGCATGCTCTTTTTTATATTCCTACAGCTATTCGAATGCCATCAAACCCATTTGCATTTTACCCAGCTCCGACATCAGAAACCATTTTTTCATCAACGAGACGATGATTGTGGCCGGCTGGGGGGTTACGCCGACGAAAACTAGTAGAGACGTGTTGAGGTGGACTATCGTTAAAGGAAGAAAATGCAAACAGCCATTCAGAAACTCCACTCTTTGTGCACTTTCAATGGATGGAACAGATTCCACACGCAGCGACTCCGGCGGTCCTCTAATGGCTAGAATGGGAAATCCAGTTAATGAATCTGTGTATTTAGCCGGAATTACCTTACTTGGTGGTGGGAATTACCATTCTGGGTCTTACGGTATAATCGGTTCTGCGTACACAAGAACTGAATACTTCATCAATTGGATAAAGGAGAAGTTAATACCTTCGTCGCAAGATGAGTTTTAATAACCCCAAAATCAATTTAAAACAATATATTATTATAAAATATCACTTCCAAAAATACTACGAAGTCTTTCACTTAAAATGTAAATGTTGGGAACTAAAACAACCACTATTTAACAAGAAAGGAAGCTTTCCTATTGTGTGCACAACGGTCATGTGGCTCGGCAAGCCGAAGCTTATAGAACCTTAAAAAAATAATTAAAAATTTAATTCGGAATTCGATAGTAGTAATAAAACGAATTTAATATATAAAGAATTTCATCTGCAAGAGAGTATAATATTTATTTAAAATCATTTATTTATAAATTCTATAAAATAATTCGTTAAATTGTTTACGCTTCATATAATATTTCATTTTGTAAGGCCTAATATATTAGTCTTAAATGTTGACATATGGCGTTCTTTTCCAGTATTGATCTCTAAAAATAAAAATTAAATCACTGTCAATAGTTTATTGATTCTTTTTCGGACGGAAGTTCTGGGTACTGGAGATATGAGGCGATTCCACACATGTTGTTAGCGTTTCGGGTCAGTCTTATGTAGCCGTTTTCACCCTTACGCGGTTCCAAAAGAGTTCTTGATGAGCCGGTATTCACTCGGGATGGGATCTGTTCCGAAGCCCACCGCATGGAGTTCCTCACCGCCAGATGCGTCTCCAAGCATCCCGAGGAGGAGAAGGCCCAGCAGCTCTGGCAGCTCCAAAAAGGACTCAATTCTGCCTATTTTAAATATATTTTCAATACATTCTGAGATTAAAAGCAAAATAATTTCACAATATTTCAACATTCACCTAATAAATTGGGAAAATATTGAAAATACTTCAAAATTTTGGTTAGAAGTAAAGAGGTATCGGGACTCTGCAGGCAACAATTTTGCTTTCAGCCTGCTTTCATTGCCATGGTCAAATGCTGAGGTTGAGAGAGTTTTTAGCCAATTAAACTTTGTGAAAACCAAAATTACGAACCGTTTAGGGGTAGATACGTTAAATGCCATTTTGGCAATCAGGTAAATTATCTATATTTTCAAAAATTTACCACATACCACATTCGGATTGCGTCGCCATAAAATATGATTAAATTAATTGGCTCCATGGCTACTTATGAGGACAGCAATAATGACGAAGGAAAAATATGCAAAAAAATGCAGACACCTTAGCCAAGTTAGGACATCCACCAAACCAATACACCAACCTAGTTCAACTAACCCACCTAAGCCAATACTCATATATTTTGTGTTTTTGTGTTGTTTTGTATTAAGGGAAAATACATTGACTTGTAAACAATAATTAAAATTTAATAAATTTTCCACTGGCCGTCTTTCCCAATGTCCAGTTTACACGGATTTTTATCGGATTATAAAAAGATTTCTGTCTTCTTCCTATAGATCTTCTACAGATTATAAAACCAACTCATTTACGAGTTTGTCTGTAATTCCGTCAGAACAACATATTTACCTTATATTCTTCAATCGGTGACGTTCCTTGAAAGCTTCTCCATTTTTTAATTTACGTTTTGTTTTCCATTGAAAATAAAGAATATAGACACCATACGAATACGGACGGGCAGTGCCCAAGAATAGAATCGGCACAAATAAGCTCAAGCCGTAAAAGCTTAAGATTGCTCCCTGGCTTTAGATAAGGAGCTAACCGCAATTGTACGAAACCTGTGCTCAAGTTCACATTTTACTTTTAAAAAAGTGACCTTTTTAATCTAAAAAAATATGCATTTTTAGATTGTAAATTTATTCTACTGAAAGCTCATCGGATGATAAAGAAATACTTTTCATCGCTGATGCATCGACCTTCAAATAAACAGAGACCTCAAAAAGAGAGTAACGAATACAGGCATTATAAGTAGGTACTTGGGTTTTTTGGCAAATAAAACTGTTCCTGCTGAGAACAGAGGAAACAACATCACTCTTGTATTACCAAACACTCATTTCAACCGCTTCATTTGACATATTATTTTAGTTGGTGATGTTCGAATGTTCCTATTGCTGGCCTATAGGCTTAGCAGCGATACCGCAGCCTGGTATCACAGTAGGTCAGTTTAAAAATACTTTTACGCTCACAAGCCGCTAAGTTCTGTGGCACCCATGGCTTTGATGGGAAGTGTTGGGCAGTGTTACATACTGATCCTAGAAATTGTTCACCAGAGAAATTAAAAAAAACTACAACTACGACAAAGATTTTATACGCCTTGTTTTTTGTTTCTTGACGAACTAATGAATTTTGGTAGAACCAAATTGAGCAGAATTGAGCAGATATCCTGCGCGGCTTGTCAAAGCGGCACGGTTTTGCAGGCACTGGATGGAATCAAATGCAATCGTAACGACATAAGTAGCTGAAAGCTCGGACGCCCAGCCACCCCGCCCCCTGTTCCACACCTCGGTCCACCCCCAGCTACCAAAGGCACATATTCCAGCGACCGCTCGCAAAGCACTCAGCTGAGCAGAAAGCTCGCGCGCGCGAGGAAAGCTTAGGAGAGCTGGCGTTTTTGTGAAGCTGGCGCCCAACGCCCACTCCCCGCCGCCCCCACCGCAATCAGCGCCACAGCAATCAGCGGCACAAACCTTTCGAGAGCGACGAAGTGGCCCGAAGAAGCCGAGGGCGAAACGAACCACCGCCGATAGCCCAGTTGCAAACTGCGGCAACGATGGCACTATCATTGGCGTTTTAACTGTGGACGGTTGCTACTCGCACTCGCTGGCGGATTAACGGCACATAATATATACATACATATATGTGTATGCATTTACATATATATCTTTGTATCTGGAGTCATTATGTACAAGTCTGCGTAGAGGGGAGTGTTCGGAGGCAGAAGGAAGGCCATTCTGTATGTGTGTCATTGCAAAATCAGTCTTACATATTCCCCCAAACCGCTGGTTACATAAAATCACAAACATAAAATTAAACAAATAAAGCGATCGAAGTGTTCGGCAGGCAGTGATTGAATTAAGCAAAGTACCGTATGTGAATCGAGTCAAGTGCCCAGTAATCGTTGATAGTGGCTAATTAAAGGAGAACTCGTTGTGCTGAGGAACACATTTTTCATTGATTACGTCGACGTCGGCAAGGAGGGCACTGCCACAGCAGCAGAGATATCCTTGTAAATCTTATATACATACTGAAATTCGATTTTTTCCTAGCCTGCAACGACGAAAATGGATCTATAACGAAGGACACGAAAAAACGAAAAAGCGAGTGAAACTAAGTGCTTACGTGTGTGTGTGTATATTTTAGTGTGTGTGTGTGTGTGTGTGTGGGAGTGAAGAAAGTACTTCAAACTAAACCCTAGAGTAATTCGTAGTGGAAGTGAAAGGGGAAGGGGAATGTGGTTTTAAGATAGCCTTTGCTCAAATTAGAATCGGAGCTCTTATCGATTTTCTAGAATTAAAACCATGATCCAGATAACTGGGAAAACTGCACTGAGCGTCACGGAGGGAATGAAGTGCCTATTTGCGTGCCCCAACCACAGTTAGTTTCCCTCTGCCTTAGTGTGCGGGTGGGTGGGGGTGTTCGTGGCGTTGCCTACTTTTGTGCGCTTTGCCCTTTACTAGGCAGGCAGGCCTTCAACGGGCCAAAGCAGCTCAGCTCAGCCGTGGAAACAGAAACAGAAATAGAAGCTGAAGCTGAAGCTGAAGCAGGGCCGAATCGAATCGAGTCGAGTCGAGTCGGGCGCGTTGCGCAATGAGCGCCGCGAAAAGGCAGCGACGTCGGTGGCGGCGTCGCCAGCTACAGAACAAAATGTAAGTCAAGCCATGCGAATTTCTGTGTCGGGAATGTCGGTGAAGAAGGAACGAGTGGGGAGTGGGTGGTGGGTGGTGGAGAAGTGAAGAAGTGGGGAAAATGCCGTGATAGGCGCTCTGGCATAATCAACTTCTTCTGTGTGCGTGGCCCGGAGCTAGATATCCGACCTGGCGGCTTCGCCCGCCGTCCTTGCCGCAACCCATTGTCCGCAGTTGATTGCGAAAAGTGTGCGGCTGCCTTTGGGCGTCAGCCGAGCAGGGTTGCAAAACTGCAATCCAATTCCCGGCGGTCTTTGGATCGGATTTGCACTGAGCCCAACGGGCACCCACCTCATCCGCCCACCGCCCCCTACCATCCCTCCACGGCCCCTTCTCGAAACTGTCATTAAGCTGGCGCCCAGCTGTCAACTTTCATGGCACGGACGCCCAGCCCCCAACCCCCAGCCCACCCCATTCCATCCACAGCGCAGCTCCAAGCCCCGAAAGCGAAAAAACTACCTTCCAAGAAAAGATTCCAGCCGCGCTCTCTTCGGCTCTCTTTCGCTCCCTTCGACTTCCTGCGCATGCTCGTGGCTGCCTGCCTGGCTCGCCGATGCTTTTTTCCGCACTTAAGATTACATAACAGTTGGCAGAGTGTGTGGCTGAAATCGGCAGAGGTGACTTCAATTTGTTTTAAGCCAGTGAGTTCATATTGTTCCGACAAATAGGGTGAAATATTTAACAAATTAGACAAATATCTAGATAAACAGTTAACACGTTCCACAATAGGCTGAAACCCAGGTTGTTTAAAAACAACGGTTTCTATAAGTTACTTTTCGATTGCGCCGAGGCGCGGACTTGGAAAAAATCAATTTCGTAAAAGAAAAAAATCCAAGAAAGACAAATGCCAAATTTGTGAAAGCAAAGTTTACATAATCATGAGAAAAGTAATTGAGTAGCTTACAACAGCCGAAAGACGAAAAATACTTCAGCGTAGAAACGGCGCCTGTCTTACATAAACAAAAATCAATAAAAAGGAAAAATACTAGCTTTCCCTAAAAATGCTGGCTCCGGGGAAAAAACCTTAACTTCCACAAATTACCTAACAGGTGTCCCACCTGATCAATTACTTATGAAAATATATACAAATTTTTGTTCCTATTTTCAGTAACGATACAAACTTATCGCAAGTCTTAACAAGATATTGTTACAAACATTCCACAACAAAAACAAAAATGATGTACCAAAGCAGTTGATTAAGAAAAACTCACCAAAAATAAAACCAAAATTAACACCAAAAACCAATATAATACAAAATATAAATAATACATTAATATTCGATAAGCGTTCAAAACCTTAACGTAAACGTAAGTCACAAATAGTTTACCAAGAACTAGCTGCAAACCAAGACGCCCCTATACAACTCGAGTGACAAGACGAATAAATAATTCACGAAAACCCAGCAACAGCAAGAAAACCAAAACCATTAAAATGGCCGATAAGAAAATTGGCGAATACTATGCACCGCCGCCTAAAATGGGCAAGTGGGAGGGTTTCAAAAAATTCCTATGGAATAGTGAAACTAGCCAATGTCTTGGTCGTACAGGTTCCAGTTGGGGTAAGTTACTTCAAATTAATTAATTACTTCAAATTCTAAATTGAAATTGTAGAGAAATTTTAAGTTTTTTTTTAGTGCATCTTTATTTTAGTTATATAATATTTAAAAATGTTTTAGTTTTTAAGCTTAATTGTAAAACTACCCAAAAATAGACATTTTCGTTTGGCTAGCCATTATTGTTTTTGTTAAAATCATGATTAAATTTGGGATTTCTATCTAGCTTAGATCTATTTCACTAAGTGGCCCCAATGTTTAGCGGTCATGAATTTAGTCCAAATATGGAAATCAATAAAGTGCACATGACTAAATACATTAATGCGTGTACACTTTTCTTGATGCCAACGAACACGAAGTTCCTTATTCTATTGCCAGTTCTTTATTGATTGCATAATGGAAACGTTTTGTGACAGCAGAGAGCACGAATTGGATTGAGAAAATTTTATTAATCATGAAATATCGTTTATTGGTCTTATAGCATAATTAATTTTTTGCCAGCTATTAAATTTGTCTTTAATTACAATCCTTTGTGTTAATTCTAACCATATGTTGAAAATTTAATTACACAAAGTTTCCAAATATATGGTTACATTAATTTATGGATGGAGTTACCAACTTTCTTAGTTGACCTTTAACCACCACTACAGAATCTTTAACGAATCCTTGAAGGCTTGCTTAAAATATTATGTAAGCCTTGGAGGGAACATTAAATAAACAACAAAAATTAGCTCACGGTTTACCACCAGCACCTAATAAGACACTTTTTTTATGGAATTTCGGGTTGTGACTTTCCCAAAAAACACAACCTGCTAGAACATACAACAAATTAAAACAAATCAATATTTCTATTTTTTAATTACAAATTTGTTCTGGTTTAGTATTAATTTAATAGTGTGAGTCAAGACTAAGCTTCCTATAACCCAGCTATGTTGTTACTACACAACACAGATGCTGGCGGACATGGCTTAAATACTTGACAAAAATCAATTCCAACCTAGTTGCATAAATTTCTGTACAGGCAACAGCTCAGTACAATAAGGCGTAAAACTGGGTGTTGCAAGAAGTTGTTTTCACTGCTATTGCTCACTGTTATTGCTTCTGCACGTAACTGGCAATTGGCAACATTTTGTATGTGTTAACCTGAGCGGCCAATCGAATTAAGGGCTTCCTAGATAAGTTAGCCTAACAAGTGTGCATGTTCAATACTCAGCTTTGTTCTCAATCTTCCTACATTAATAAAAATTTCTTAATTTTTTAAAAAATCTCAGTTAATTTATCAATTGCTACAATTAACATACAAGCTATTCAAAAACATATATATCTGCCACTCAATTATTAAAATCAACTTGCGGCGCAGCAAACAAGGCTGCCAGTAAAACAATTAAATGGACGACGAATCAATTTACACTGACACTCGAAAGTTAGCCACCCATTCGCTAAATAATACACTAAAAACTTTTTACTTTTCGCTAAAAACATAAACCTTCAGCTGACTAACACCACAATTAGCAATAGAGACCTAAAATATTTTCTTCGAAATCTAAGCTTTTGCTTTTTCGTTAAGAGCATTTGTTAACTTCAATTCAAAGTAAAGATAAATGTTTGTCGACATACTTTTCAAACTTGGAAATTCTGATATTTTCGTAAAGTTATAAAAAGTGTTGATAAGCAGATAAATAATCTCTGCTCTTATTCAGAGATGCAGCAGTTTGAAACTCTCGGTTTTAAGAGGGTTTTTTAAAGAACTTCCGATGCAATTAATTGAAGGGCAATTAAGCAGAGTAAAGAAAATAGAACAAAATAAATGGCAATAAAGACGGCTTGGCGTAAATTCATAGGGGAACCTCTCTTCAAAAGCACAGGAAAAAATGCAATCATCAAAATCGTGTTATTTTATTTAGTGCCTATTCTGAAAGCATTTCGAAAATATTCATGTTGTCAAGTATCACCTGATAGAGCAGTTATTTAAAAAAATGTAGTATAGTTAGGTGGTCGACATTTTATGTCTCTGTTTATTATGTAAAAGTGTAAAGTAAAGTTTAACCGCACTAGCTATTTGTCATGCAAGTATCAATTACACATAAAATTACACATACCAGTTAAAAGTATCTCAATGCAAATAAATGACATGCAATATATTTAAGTTTCGGGCAGTGGAAAGCCTAGGAGCAAAAACATGAAATACGTCTTCTATTGTTTTATCTTAAAACCGTAAATTTTTCATGGAGGCCTGCTGACTCTCCACCCTTGCTCCAACCTTAACTGTAAATTAAAAATATAATTGAGATACAACGAAAAAGCAGAGCATACAGAAAGCAAAGAGAGCCCGTTCTCTGCAGGCAGTGACAATTGTGTGACTGAAGTGAAAATGTCAAAGTTGAAAGTGTAGAGAACAGCATAGGGAAGGGGAGGAGTGGGGAGTGGGGAGGGAGGTATGAGGGGATAAAAGCTGGAGCCAGAGCCCAAATGAGAGCGCAAGAGCGCAAGAGAGCGCAGCGTATACGTAACAGTCCCACTTTACTCTGGCTTGTCCTGGTCAGGTCCTTACACACACAGCTACGGCACCTACCAGATAATTTGCAACGTCAACGTAAAGAATTTTCGATTAGAGCAAGAGTTGTTTCTATATATTAAAACGAGCACATGGTTTAAACATCCAAATGAAAAAAACACTTATACTTACCGAACAACAGGCTTATGGCAGATTTATATCATATTATTCTTACACTGGATCAAAAAGCTAGTTTCGCCCAGCGAAGTCTATACACCCTTGCAGTTAGTTCTTAAAGTAACTAAACGCGACATAAATTTATAGTCACAAGATTGTTTCCAGTTTTTATTTCGACACTTTCAGAAACAGCAATTATGGATACTGTTTAGTTACGCCATATTTTCTCTTTTTTGTGGTATAAGAGTCCGATTTTAATAAAAATCAAATTGCTGTATGCCGTTCAGATTATTTTTTTTATAAAAATTTTCTTAAGTTTCTCCGATTGCTGCACTGTAGTGTAGTGGTCATAAACATGCTTCTTTGACCGAAAACAACGGTGCAAAGATTCGTGGTCATTCATTTTATGAAGATTATTTGATTTTTTTAATGATATAAGTATATACTATCTGCAATATTTTTAAGCGAGATATCAAGCATTAAAATTATAAAGTTTATGGGGTCGGAAAAGTCTCCTTCACCGCCTTGCAATGTGTATACCATTACAGTTACAATTATACAAGATTATTTCCTACGATTGCCAATTAGATTTGTCGAAGCACGCTCACGATTACTTTCCCACGACATAGGACGTACTCGCAATCAAACGATCTCGAATATTTCTCACGACCTAATAAAAAAAACCATGTAAGAAACAAATTGCAACGACTTAACAAGATGATGATCTGCAATCCTGACTCACCCATCTCCTATTTTCATATCCAATAATAACACCCTTCTTAGCCCGACTTTTGGTTCCTTAAAAATTATCCTGATTTTTCCCGAGATTAGCTTTTAAGTCTTTGTTCATTAGTGGTATTCACATTTGGTCGTAAGCATAAAAAAGAAAAAAAATAAGAAATATCAACAAATTTTTTTTTTTTTTTTTAAGATTTCCTATATGTACTTATGCAGCTGTAGGGGCTTTCTAAATTTGCTTAAATATTGCAATGGTTTTTCATTTTAATTTTCGTATTTCAGTACAGTTGATTTTTAAAGAATTAAAGTCAAACAATATTTTTTATGGTGATAAGAAGTTGACATTTATTAATTTCGTTCTAAAACCTTTCAGCGAAAATTCTTCTATTCTACATAATATTTTATGCGGCGTTAACTGGATTCTTTGCCGCAATATTTACTGTATTCTATACAACGTTGGACAACGAGAAACCAAAATGGATGCTTGATAATGGCCTGATTGGATCCAACCCAGGTTAGTCACAAAACAAAGCCCTCTCTAAGTTTAATTATACATAATATTGAGCACAAAGCCCTTATTATTAATATGAACTATAATACACACAAATACGGTTATCAAAAAAGCATCTCTGTAAAGACATCTCTATGTTCTTTTTTGCGGCTCCAGTTAAACTAAAAAATTATTCAAACTTTATAATGAAATGAGGATCGATGAGATCATTCATACAAAATACCCTTTGCTCTGCAAAGTATAAAAAGAACGTCAAACCATCTTTCTTAAAAATATGCTTTTAAAGCGGTTAATGATACGTTTTGAAATTTTAAAAATTAAACTTTATGTATAAATAAATCTTTTCGATAAAATCTCTTCGATCATTTTTTTTTCTTTTTCTAGTAAACGTTTTTTTATGTAAGCCTACACATAAATATTAAATTACGGCAAGATTGATACTTTTTTGTTTGTTTTTTTTATAAACAAAAATCGTACGAGATATTTTCGTGCTTAACATGTTGTATCATTCTAGCTTACTTTTTTTTTTTTTAATATTTTAAAAACTTGAAAAACAAAAACCTAAAAATCTATTGTTGTTACTAAAAAAATGTGTTTTTTTTTTAAGTTGTGTTTACATATTTACATTACTACCTAAATGTATACCTTTCCCTTGTCGATTTTTAATCTCAATTCATATAAACAGATAGAAAAAAAAGTAATTTAATTAACTAATTGGATTGAGCTCATTGTGAAAACTCTTTTCTCTCTTTCATTAGGTCTTGGCTTTCGACCAATGCCCCCAGAAGCGAATGTGGAGAGCACATTAGTTTGGTATGCAGCAGCCAAAGACGATAATTATAAATACTGGGTCGATGAGACTTCTCGTTTCTTGAAATGTAAGTAAGAACAAAATTATAAACCAAGAAGTTCTGATTTTTTCCGGTTTTTTAATTTTTGAAATTTATAACCGAAAAATTTTTCTTATGAACCATATTAAATGGAATTAAAAAATATTTTTCCAACCCAAATCCTCTGACCAGTTGGTGAAATTTAGTATCCTAAGCTTTCGAGTTTAATTTTTTTAGTCCGTTAGCTTCATTTCTAAGTTAAAATGATTTTTTTAATTGGCAAAAAAAGTTAAGTACAAAATTAATTCAAACGTAAATATTCAATCTTAAATTCAACTAACGGAAAAAATAATACATTTTTATATATATAGAGGGGTGCTTGTGCTCAATACGCTTAAACAAATAGTCAATATCCACCAACCAATAGTCAACAAAGCCGGGATTGGGATATCTATCATACAATGACAAAAGATGTTCGGTTTTAGATTGCGAAAAACAATCGTATTTAATAAATATGGCCTTTTTTAAACAATTTTAGAACAAATAAGAAAAGAGTATTAACTTACTCTTTGATTTTTTTTTATGAATATTTTATGATAATAAGCAATATTAAATGAGTACATTGAGATTTTCTACCTGATTTTTAAAAATAATGTTTTTTCAAATGTTTTGATTTTTGAAAACCGATAATATAAAGATCACAGTAAGTTATTTTTGTTTTTAACAGTAAAAAAAAAAAACTATCGCTTCACCGTACTTAACATATGTAAAAAAAAAAAATGTAGGCTACTGCTCTCGCCAAAAGTAACCCCGAGAAAGCTCCTAATAGTATTTTATTTCCTTCCTAGCTTACGATGACCTTGACAAGCAAAATCATGTTAACTGCAGCTTTGAAAATCCACCACAAGATAACAAGGTGTGCGGCATTGACCTCTCGACCTTCGCACCGTGTACAGCTGAGAATAACTTTGGCTACCACGGGGCCAGACCCTGTATATTCTTGAAGTTGAACAAGGTAGAGTTTCCAGTCCAGCACATTGATCACAACATTAACATAACATGTAAATGAAATCTCCTTAGATATACAACTGGGTTCCAGAGATTTACAACGATTCAAAAACCTTGCCAGATCACATGCCCGAGGATCTGAAACAACACATCAAGGAAAAGCAAAGCCTGCGACCCCTCGAAGTAAGCTGGCAAACACTATTTCGTTGCAGATTGTTGTTACTACCTCTACTTTCAGACAAACGTAGTTTGGGTCTCGTGCGAGGGCGAAAATCCCGCTGATGTTGAGAACATCAAGTCCCGTGATTACTATCCACGAATGGGTTTCCCTCGATACTATTTCCCCTTCAAAAATATTCAGGGGTACATACCGCCCATTGTTGCTGTTCAATTTACGGTTGAAAGTAAGTACCATTTATTTACCTAAGCCTATCTCTGTGTTCCGTCATATTTTATGTTTTTCAATTGTGGTTAGGAGTTAAGAAAGGGCTATTATTTTGGCTATGTCAAAATTAATTAATTAAATTAATTAATTAAATTAACGTTTTTCATAGGTATTTTAATTTAGGTGAGTACTGAGGAACAAAATATGTAAAAGACATACATACGTACATATGGTTAAAAGCTGTATTTTGTTAAATAATATCAAACAACTCAGATGTTGCCAAACGTGTGTTTGTGACATACATTTACGTTGTAAGCGGAACAGCTCGCAAAAAAGATGTCTGCAATAAAGTTAACATACAAAAACCTATTTTCGCGGTCTAATAAATAATTATAATGTAGGCCCTGTTCAGAGAAACGAACAAAAAAGTCTTTGGAAAGAATGAGGAAGTGCGTTCTCCTTTTTTCCCTTGTTTTTTATTGAAACAATTTATAGGTGCTTTATCCAGCATTGTTTTGATAAATGGGTTACATACTACTAAGAACGAGTATATATCTGAATAGTAATCACTAATACTACCTTAAGCTAGAAGTTTGCAATTCAGTTTAGAAGGCATCTCCGTGCCGATAATATTTTCTTGACTGAAATTTTAACAAAAGCCAGCTTACTGTTGCACGTGTTTTATAAGTTCGTACGGGCCAGATATAATGTTTATATTATTTTGGCGAAGTTGGCTTAAAGAAGCCTCATCAGCATGTGTGCAATAGATGTAGAAGACTTAGGTTATAATGAGAATGAAATGGAAGCAAAAATTGATTTAAGTGTACAATACAATTCGTAAAATAATATAAAGTTTCTTATAATTTTTATTTGGTTTTTTTTAATGCTACAGCTTTAATTGGTAATATGAAAGTCAAACTAAGATTATACTTTTTATAAAAAAATTTATTCTTAGTGTCTACTTAATTTCAGAATTGGTAGTTGTTTCTAAGCAATTTGCGAAATAGACAAACGATTTTTTGTGAATATTTTTGAAGGTTGATTTGCAGTAGGACAATAAACCAGAATTGTCTTTGAAGTTCTTTTTCGATTTTAAATTATTATTTCTATGTGTATAAATATGTTCGGTATTCTCACCATAGTATGATTTGTATTAATTTTCTAATTTCTTCCAGCCGGCGTTTTGATTAACATTGAATGCAAAGCCTGGGCACGCAACATAAACCACGACCGTTCAGATAGAAGAGGATCCGTTCATTTTGAATTGATGGTTGATTAAGAGAAGCGCTAAGAACATGACGATAGTGGATTGGCAGTATCACAGGAGCGGCCATCGAAAAATCTACGAAAGATTTAAATAAAAGAAAAGAAAGAAGTAAAAAACATCAACAAAATCCACACACAAAACAGAAACAAGAAAAGTGTAGCAATGAGTAGACGATTTGTGTAATGCAAAGAAAACCTGCAAGATACAGCAACAACCAAAGACAAAACTAAACGAAATGAAGCTACAAAAACAAAATGGAAAACTTAAATTACAACAACTAGCGCTATAAAGCAAAGTAAAACAAAATAAAAACCTACCCAACGCTATCTAACAAAACACCCTCACAGAATCAGAATCAGAATCAGAGTTTTGTTTTAAAGCATTTGACTAAGTTACCTGTTCAGCTGCAAAAAAACTAAATTGACATGCCTCATAACATTGCAAAATATTAAATTGTTACTAATAAACTTTAAAAGCAAGAACAAAAAATTAGCTGATCATTTTTTTTTTTATTTATCGCCATTATCCGAACCTTAACAACAAGAAACATATAAACGACGAACAGCGCAGCGAAAAAAAAAACTTAAAAAAAACACAGCAAATGTACTTGAAAGTTAAAAAAATATTTATCATAAAACAATTATTTAGTTATAAAAAACAGTATATGTATGTCTTAACATATGCATATATATAAATGTATATATAAATATATATTTATATGCATATATAACTTGGTAGATCGGATGTCACATAACACGTATATGTATGTTTATATATGTATGTGTATACATTTTTACCCATTCTTCTCTAGCCCTTTCCCCGTCAGCACCCATTATATCCTAAGAGGCAGAAACAGTATTTAGGATCCTAAAATATAATTTAGTTAAATTTGTTATACAAACTTACCACTTTACCAAACAAAAAAAATGGCATTAAAAACGCATAACATTTAATTATTTGAATACATTCACAAGGCAAAAACAACATAAATTGTAGATTCTTAAATAGAAAATGAGCAAGATGTGGCGCTGAATAATTAATAAACTACAAGTATATAAAAGGGTATAACTGACGAAAAACTTGAAAGCAAAACCAAGACATATTTAAAATGAATACTCTTCACTTATTGAAATCCCAAATCCAAGATCATTGATGGGTAAATCGCATGAAATATCTAATTTCAAAAAGATAAATAAAGCAACAAATTAAATAGCTGGAATAAGAGTAAACAGGTTACTGGTTACAATAAAAAAGAAGAGCATATAAAATTAATATATATTATGTATACACCACCACAAAACACAAACAAATTCTATAAATAAATCCAAGTTGTTTTAACTAAAAAAGAAACCGTTTCCATCTCATATAATTTACAGCAAACCCACTTAAGAGGAAAAGAAAAGTTCGCCTTTTCAGCTTTTTATTGTTATTCGTTTTTTAGAACCAAACATGAATATTGCTTTCCAAATTATATTGTTTTTACATATACACAAGCAGTTAACCCGTCTCTAATATGATATGAAAAATAAATATTTGAGCCCCAACTAACTTTAAAAAAGCTGTCTATTTTCCAATACGAAATACTTGAAATGGTAAAGGATAGCAAGCGGCATACCAAAAGCTTAATAATTACCCCCTTTTCCATCCACTTTAACTAGTGTAATTTCTAAGAGTAAAGTAAGGTGATGAGCCAGATAACTTGGTATTAAATTTTGCCAAAAAAAAAAACGAAATGCAGTAAATAAATCAATAAATAAAAGTTGAGCGGGAAATATTACAGATAAATATAAACATTTATTTTAAATAAAATGCTTACTTTCATAATATTTCCTTCAACTGCAAAAAAAGGTAAATAATATTTGGGTTAGATTTAAATTCAGAACTTAAACTTTTTTTGTTTCATACAATTATAACTGGCCCACAGCATAAAGTACATTCCGTTTTTAAGTAGTTTATTTTGTTTAATAAACCATTTCGAAACATACTCTTTAAAGCAAGCTTTTGTGGAAATATAATAGAACATTTGTTTTCTAATATCTTTGCTAGTGCATGTTCTCCTAAGACTAAGCTAAAAAAATTATGATATGAAAACAGTTAGTTAAGTAGTATAATGAAATGGCAGCAAAATTGTCATTACTGAGCACCAAAATTCCTGTTGGGAGATCTATTGAAATATGATTCCGCTAGTGTCCAGGTAACCGCGGGCAGGGTTTAAAACAAATTGAGCTACCATATATACTTATAGGTTTATTTTTCATCTCAAGATTTTCGCGCACAAAATTAGACTTGAAGACGATATTTTATTTGGTTTTGACCCGGCAAAGTGTGTTCCCCAAAATCCGCCGATAAATATTAATAGGTTATCTAGGGTAAAAAAGAACTTGTAAACAAAACATAATGAATAAATATTTCCCATAACAAGGTATATAATAAACACATAAAGAAGAAATGAAAAAAACTGCCAAGTAAATGTTTGACCCTATAGCTTACAAAAACTTATTTGAAAAAGTTTATTTAATTCAGACTCACACTGCTTTCTCCTGTCAGCGGTTGCTAGTTACTCGCCATATGACTCGGATGCAAAATGTTATTCCTTAAAAGACTTCATATTCTTCAGTAGGCGGCAACAACTAGCACACAATTTAAACAAATTAAATTTAACAAGCATATATATAAACTGCCATTTTTTATGTATGTAAAATAAAACGTAATGAAAGACAAAAACCATTAAAATTGACATTTTTGCATGTAAACTGACAACCAAACCTTGATACAAATTCAAGGCTACAACAATAAATGTTCAAACGAATTCAAAAGGATTTTCACATGATTGTTTCAAGGAGTTTGCATAGTCACCTATATGTGTAATAATCTTGTTCAACTTTCGGTACATAAATAGCAAATTAGGCCGCAAGCCTTTTAACAAAAATTCCTTACTATACAGATTTTCAAGGTCTCCCACAGAAAAGTGTGTCACACTGCGGCATATGTACCAAACAAAAATGCAATGCGAGAAAGGACAAATATAAAAATTATTTAAAGAAAATTTGTTGACTTTAAATTTATTTGCAATTGGCATAAATAGTTGCAAAAAACGAAACATGATGGCAAATTAGCAAACAAATAAAGTGAACTAGAAAAATAAAAAAAAAAAACTGTATTTAAAATAAGCTACTTAGATCTAAGCCAGTATAACATAAAAACGTATATATACTTATAAATATATGCAAATGTTATATATATAAATGGTAACAACATAAAAAAATGTAAAATTACATTTAGGTACGCAAACATTTATGTTTTTTGATTTTCCAGAAAACACAATAGATTAAAAAAATTAACCGACACGAGAACCCACAAAACACGGAAATTAGCAATGCTTAATACATTTAGTTTTTGACAAATATAGTGAAAAATGCGAATTAAAATTCATTGTAGTAAATTAATTATAACTACTTAAACAACAGATTTCAGTTTGAAAAAGATCGAATCTGAAAAGAAAATAAACAAAAAAATGATTTTGTTACCTATTTTAGAATTTCAAAAAAGTCTAACAAGATTGCTTTAATTAACGTTTAAAAAATCCTTCATAAAATCACAGAAAAACTAAAATATGGATAACATAATGAAAAACAAACACTGCTTTTTATATTATTTAAGTTTAACTTTAAATATTAAAAAGATAACAAAAAAAATATAAGCTGTAATATTAAATGAAACTTACGTCAAGAAAAAAAGGAACATCATTCAAAAAGGAAAATAAACAACAACAAGAAGCTACATAAATTTTGAAGAAAACCCCTAAAAATGAAGTCATGTACGAGTAACGATAAATGAAATGTTTGAAAAATTTTACTGAATTCAATAAAAATATTATGTTGATATGGAATTAAGTAATTCCAAATAAACAAAAAACAACTAGTTTTTATTTTCTACACTCTAAGAAATAGAAAATTTTTACTTAAAAACTTTTGTTTCTTGTCAATAAATGGTGTCATTGTCAATAAAGGGTGTTACGCAGTGAAGGAGACACCACCGACTCCACAGATTTTAAAGTTAAAATTTTATAATATTATTTTTTATTAGTAGCTTTTGAAATGGTAGCATAATCTGTTGTACAGAGTTTTTTTTAGAGTTTTTACAATTAATGTTACTTGACACTAAGATAATAGGAAAAACAGTTTATGACGTCAAAACCAGGTGTGGTAGGTCTTAAGGGTAGTGTCGCTCCAGTTTTTTTAATTCTTGGCATTGTTAACAGTGCCTAGCTTCCTTGCTAGGCATTTAGGATGCGCATTAAGCCTCTCCATGTACCTCCTAGAGATTTCTTGTAGCTTGACCCGAGCTTGGGCACGTTGAGATCCCGTTTGATCTCCCTGGTATATACGTATATATGTACGTACCAGGGGGCTTTATAAATCAATCATAGAGTTTTGGCCCGCAGAACTCGGATTTTTGTTAAGGCTGCTATTTGAAGAAATGCCATAAGCTTGAAGGGCTTAGAAAGGAGTAGACGATAAAATAGACTTATAAATCTTGAACGTGGTGGAAAAATCCATGCCATTCGAGCGACCTCGTTCCTGAAGGAATGCTGTTAGCATGTGATGTGCTCCCCAAAGGTAAGCATTCTGTCTAATGTGACACCATCATACCATACGCCTGAAGAAAGCTGGTTGTGCTTTCCTTAGGGCTCACGCCAGGAGAGATACTCCAGAATGCATCGAGATACTCTTGCAAAGCAAAAGTGGCTGCCAAGGACCGACGTGTCGTCAGCTTAGGTAGCGATCAGCACATATTGTTCTTCAACCGCAGAAATTGAAGTGTGTGAAGGGATATCTAAGACGAAGGTGAAATACAGGGTAGGGCCAAGGACGCTACTTTGTGGGACTATACCAGGAATTGTTTTGACCGACGATTTGTACCCATCAGCAGAGACATGGAATGTGCAACCCCTAGGAAACTTTTCACAACTTGGAACAGCTGAGGCGTGCAAAGTCACTTGGTTTTGTACGGGAGATCGGTTTGCCAGACCGGTTGGGAGTCAGCCTCTCCTTAATTTTTCCCAGAGATGAAAGTAGACAGATCGGCGGTTTTCCAGGCTTAGGGACATAAAGTTATTGGAAAAAAATTATTACGTCATTGTTTTTTATCACAGAAGTATAATTTTTTAAATAACTATTTTCTAACAACTATTGAAATATTAATAAAATTTCATAAAAATCAGAAAACTGTATAATATAACCGGACTCCATCATATAGCTCGATCGAAAAATATTGAATTTATTACAGAAACATTAATCTAAAAAACATATAAAAGATTATTTCAAACAAAATTTTCAATTCGTTGTTTTTATTATGAAAGCTAATTATTTGAGAATAGAACAACACTTGAATCTGAATATATTTCCGCCACTTATTTAGGATCAAGACTAATAAAACGAGGGTTAAGGCAAAGACTATAGAATATCAAGATGTTGCATGACCTCAAAAAAATCGTTCTATGGTGGGTCTTGATATGGAGACCCACATGACTTTGCACTTTTAAAGGCAGCCAAGACCATATACTCAATTAGTTCGCCGCGCTTCATGAAGCCCGGTGTTGTTGTGGTAGATGCTATGCCTCGTGTACATGAAGGCCCGGGTTCGTATCCTCGCCGAGCCCAGCCATATCATAAATTGTTTTTTTTTTTCTTTTTTGTGTAAATTAATTAATTATTTTATTTTTAAATTTTTTTTTTCAATTTTTTGTTTTTATAATTTTTTTTGCGTTCATGCAAATGGTGAACAGCCTGATACAATTATACAAGGTAGTCCACTCGGCAAAATCCATAGTCCCCTAATTTAACTTTGTCAAGTAAGTGTGAGTGAAACGGCTACACTGTGCTTCAGTTTGACAAGCAGGCACGCACTGAAAATAAGGGACCAAAACCGAACGACTTCGGCAAGCCGAGTGGACTACGTTGTATAATTGTATCATGGTGAGCAGCAAAATACCCTAACACGCGTACATATGTATACGCGCATGTGTGAAAATTTAACGACACAATTATCTGAATAAGGAACATTATTAATATTGCACCTATGAATTCTTTAATTTAATTATTATAAACGAAAAATTATGATTTAAATGAAAATTAAAGAAAATAAAAAAATTATGCTTTACAAGTCTGATATACCCTTCTACTATTGTAAAGTGTATAAAGCCCGATAAACTGAAAATTGCCAGCTGTGAAAAAATTCCCAATTTGGGAACACGACGAATATTAAAAACGAAGACGAAAGCCGAAAGCAGCAGTTCGTCGTGTTTCTATTTTTAGATTTTCCCTATTTACCCCGACCGACCGCATCATAAAGCTAGAAACAGAAACGAAAAATGTTTTGTATGGGATGCAACATCTTGATATTCTATAGTCTTTGGTTAAGGTTATTTCGATGTTTTTGGTAAGCATACGAATTACTAAATACTACAATTTCAACATTCTATCTCTCAAAAATTGGAATTTAGTATTTACTCATTCGTAACGAGTATAGCTTCTTGATCTCCCATAAGATATGTGAAATTTGTAAGATGGAACCTAGTCAGCGTTTATCATACAAATAAAGCGTTTATCATACAAAGTTTAAGTTTGTCAAACTTATTGATTTTCTGCAAGTTTTAGAAGATTTGCTGGTTGTTATCATAAAAGTCGGTAATGCCGACGATGTTGGGTACTTTGGTTCAACCGTTTAACATAAGAGGTCCTGGATAATTTGTAATTGTGCTACAAATTTTTAGCCTTTTTATAGACAGACTAGCCCAACAAATTTAGGCAACGTAAAATATCTTAAATTTTCCTAATAAAAAGTTTTGGCATCCCGCAATCTGCTCAAATCTCGTATCAACATCTTTTAAAGAGGGTCTTTAACTTTTACATGAATACGTGTTTTCAAATTTCTATGTAATGTTTTAAGCAAGGGCGTCGCCAGGGGGCGAGGGGGCAGCTGCTGCCCCCCCTAGAGATTTCAAACTCCTTTTTATTTTATTTTTCTAATAAATGTTATAACCCATTTACAAGTTTTTTAGGCTACATTTCATTTTGAAAAAATTAGGTATCCTTGGTAAAATTTAAACAATATAACCATTCTTTTCTATCGAACGAGAAATGTATGAATTGTAGTAGGTAAAGTCAACTTGCCCCCCCCCCTACGCCATCGGCTGGCGACGCCCTTGGAATTAATACCCAACAGCAAGGTTAATTCAAAAATAATTTTATATAACTAACTAGCATAAACTTGCAATGCATATTCAAAATGTTATAAAATGTTTAAGTCAAATCCTTTAAAGGTGTTAGTGCTTTAAGGAATTGTATCAACAACCAACATATAATTTTATACAAAAATAATTTTTTTTTTAATTTCTCAACATTGCAAGAACAAATTCTATAAAAATTTATGTTCCAAAAATAATTCATTGCTTTTTTAAATCTATTTTACTTTTGAAACTTATTGTTGAAGGCTGTTGCTAATTTTATGCACATATCGATTAAAGTACATAAGAATTTGTTGTATGTATCTCGATCAGAAAACGATCTTGGCATCTATCGTCAGAAGTTAGTGTTGAAGAGTTTTCGAGGTTTTAGGGAAAAATATCGCCTTTCTAAATTTCTGGAAACATCGATATAAACCAACAAAAATCGATTTGGTTCCAGCTCTAATTCACTGTAACCTAACGTTGTTTGTTGTTTGTAATTCGGCTGCGAAAGGAAAAAAAACCTCACCAAGAACTGTAAGTTCTGCCGCTTTATAATAGAGTCGTCGTCACTTCTTCCCTGTTAATTGTTGAATGTGACAAAATAGCATTAAACTCTTTGTTTCATTGAAGCCTTGTCGTGTCTTTGTGTTTGTAAAGTGACGCTATCATTTTAAAGCTGATTTTTCGCCGGACATTTAGCCTTTCTTATAACTGCGGCTTGCTATTTTCCAACTGTGAAAACAGTTAATCAGTTAAAGTATTTTTGCATTGCAGTATTAATATCTTTTCAAAGATCATTCATCACAGGCAAAAAATATCCGCTTTACCTGATGGCGTCGCTTGCTGCGGCATTCATTTTGTTTCTTTGCAAAAAAGAACCACCACACAAGCACAGGGTCACACAGACGCGGGCACGCCACACATACTCTACCAAACGAGAGAGAGCGGCTTTCTGGCCATTGTTACGTTTATGGGAAGCTGATTTAATGAAAACTCGAAATTCGTTCCATGTATTTTTTAAACTAAATATAATTTAATATCAGTTCCAAAGATAGCTATCCCTCGGTATGTTGCGTTAAGTTTTTTTTTTTTAATTTAAGCGTGTTGCCGGTGTTTTGATTTTGCGTATTCGACAATTCATGAAATTCACAGCATAAACACAGTATCTGTTACGCTCTGCTGCTTGCGATTTCTGGTTCTGGTTTTTAGGGCCCAACTCATCTTCTACCCTGTTTCCTTCCAGCCGTGTAGAGAGATTCCACCCAGTCCAGTCCAGAAGCAACCCGAGTAGCGAGAAAATGTCGGCCAAACGCAAGGCAGGTGGCAACGGAGCCGGACCCAACAAGCGGCGCCCGAAGAAAAAGAGTCTGACTACGAGGACGAGTTCAGCGATGAGTCCGACGATGAAGGTGTGCACCAGCAGGCGGCGGTCGCCAACCAAATGGAGGTACTCATCCCACACGATGACCACGACCCGCCAAGCAAGCTGCCTGAAGACTTGTTGGCCACGCTGGAGAAGACCCCGGGCCAAATGCTGCTCGCGGGCATGGTGACCTGGGACCTGACCGGAAAGCGGGACCGCAAGAACGTCGCGAAGGTGCGCCCGAACTTATACAGTTTTCACCGGTTCACGGACGAGAAGGTAAGATATCCCTTTTCCCCGTATAAACACTGTTCTAAGTACTTCTTCCTCGCAGTATCGGTATGTGGCTAGCGGTCCTAGTGCCGCTCACACCATTGTCATCAACATGGATCGCAAGGCTCTCGGCTTCGGACGCAATCCCAGCGGACAGCTTGGTCTCAGCCAGGATATCAAGTTGGCGGAGAAGCCCACGCTCATTCCAGCCCTAGAGCACTTGAACGTGGTGCAGGCTGCTGTCGGCCGGCACCACACTCTTTTTCTCACCGACACGGGCACAGTGTACGCCTGCGGTGAGAACAAGTCCGGCCAGTGCGGTGTGGGCAATACACACGCCAACATCTACTCGCCTACGCCGATTAACTACCGAGGGCCGCCCATTATCCGAATTGGGTGTGGGGCTGAGTTTTCAGTCATACTGGACATCAAGGGCAGCCTACACACGTTTGGGCTGCCGGAGTACGGCCAGCTGGGCCACAACACGGACGCCAAGTACTTTGTGAACGCCAACAAGCTATCATTCCACTTTGAGACTTCGCCCAAAAAGGTGGTGCTGTACATAGAGAAGAGCAAGGAGGGTCATGTGACACCAGTCGATGGTGTGCAGATCGTTGACTTTGCATGTGGCAACAATCACACGGTAAGATGGCCTTTGATATTTAGTTGTGCGGTATAACACGGACACCATTTTTTTTGTTAAAGGTTGCCATCGACTCAAAGAAGCGCGTCTACAGCTGGGGATTTGGAGGTTTTGGGCGCCTCGGCCACGCCGAACCCAAAGACGAGATGGTACCGCGACTCATGAAATTTTTCGATACCCAGGGTCGGGGTGGGCGCAGTGTGTACTGCGGCTCAACTTTCAGTCTGATCGTAAACGAGCTGGGCCTGCTCTTCCTGTTTGGTCAGAATAAGAAAACAGGCGAGGCAAATATGTACCCGAAGCCTGTTCAGGATCTTTCCGGCTGGAACATTACCGATATTGGCTGTGCCAACACATCAATTATGATTTCGGCAGACGACACACTGATCGCCTGGGGCGCATCGCCCACGTTCGGAGAACTGGGCATCGGGGGAGTTCCAGAAGTCTTCGACGGTGCCTAAGGAGGTGCCAAAATTGGACAACATTAAAATACCTCAGGTGACTATGGGCTACTCGCACACGGCGCTGCTTGTGGACACTAGCCACGAGGCCACTAAGCAGAAATACGAGAAAATGCCCGAGTACACAATCGATGATTAGGTTGCGAACAACTTTTCCGCAAGCAATCAAGTGCTGCTACAAACAAGTATACCGCTGCCAACAACAATACTGCTCCACATAGGAAACCCTGAGAACTGATCATCGAAACTCTGCTGCTACTTATTGAAAGTGAAACTAAAAAAAATCAGCAAATTGTAAGCTATAAGTTAAAAGTTCATTTATACGCTAAACTCGCTATCTACATACTATACGATAATCTCAAAATAAGGAAAAAAAAATATTTTGTTTCCAAACACTTATTTATTTTTGTAACAGATCCGATTCCCTCCTCAACCTATTCCCTTGTTTTTATAATTTATTGTCGCCCACCTTTAGGCTTACTCCAGATTTTACAAAACGTATGATTAACCAGTTTTATTTTAAAATGTACACAGTATTCTGGATTCATTTCGAACAGAGTGAACAAAAGCAAACCACAAACTACAAAACACGTAAATTAACGAACTAAGCGCATAGGTTACATATAAAAAGTATACCATGGAACAAATCCAATACCAGTTGCAACTATTAACTAGTACATCATGCATTTTAATCATATACAAATGAATATTTAAATAAAAAGAATGTTAGTACTTAGATAAAAGAAGTCTATAATTTATCTATACATTTCGTGGCTTACTTAGTACCTAGCGGGAAATGGGAACTTCGCTGAAATTTACGAATTTATCAAGCTTGATACTTACAACACATGAAGTTGGCCGTGTTTATCATAAAATAATCGTTATGCCTACGAGTATTGTTTTGATGAGAGCCCTTGATTCACTTTGCAGTTTTGAAAGCAAGCTGTTGATAACTGAGGCGTCGTTAATTGCGCTACAAATTATAACTGTGGGGGACATTTCTATACCTTTGCAGAGGGTATTATAACTTTAGTCAGAAGTTTGCAACGCAGTGTCTGAGCCTCCTCGACCTTGATCAACACCACCATTTGACTCGATCTAGACGTGTCCGTTTGTCCATTTGTCTGTTTCTATGTAAACGAATCTATCAGTTTTAAAGCTCTCTCGATGAAACTTTACCAAAAATTGTATAGTTATGTTAAGTCGAAACGTGCCGGATCAGACACAAGAAAAGAAAATATTTTTTTTTTTTTTGAGCTTTATCTTTATTTAATGAATCTTCTCTTGAAGAGACTTACAATAAGAATTAAAATCTTAACCTATACTATATATTATTATTTTATATTATTCATTATTATTTATTTGCTATATCATGTTTTTAATTGGTCGACAACCCTCAATTGGGCAGGAGTGGGCGGTCGTTGCGAAAAGAATATAAAACCAAAAAAATTCATATAAAATTTATAGAACAAACTTATACAATTTTTAAATATAGAGTTTTCTAAAAACTCTTGAATTTGGAATTTAATTTCGTGAACATCCGACGACTATTTCACTGAACAATTAGTGAAAATATGGAAAGCCTTTTTGCATTTTGCTCAATATCTGTGATACATATATGCAAGGGTTTTTATATAAGCTTCGGTTCGCCAAAGCTAGCTTCCGTTCTTGTTTTAATTTTTTTTTGTTAAAGATCTGTTTTTTTGCTTTTTCAAAAGTGAAAATTGGTGAGACAGACAACATTAAAATTAAAATTAAGTTTTACATTTCGGTGTGTGAATTGGTTGCTAAACAAGCCACTCATTGAAATAATCATCTGCTTGTTATTTGATGACAGCTTATGTAAGTCATACAGCTGTTTATTTTTACAGTATTTAAACTTTGAATCAGTCTAAAACTAAAGACATAATGATTCTTAAAAGGACGTACACTATCTTATCTAATAAGAGCGAAAACCTTCGGCTGGCAGGAGATGTCATGATGAAACAGTTTCCGATTCTGCAGCTTATGGTTACAAATGCCTTTTGAAGGTATGTGGGCTAAAAGGACGTTTGACTGTAGCTTGGAGCTTGTACGGGGTATCTCAAATCGAATTGCGACTAAGGAATTAGCCGGAGTGGGTGTTCTGTGAGGCGAAGGGTTGTTTTGACGGTATCCCTCGATTTCTGACCTATGCCGCCAGTCCAGCCTTGCTTCCTGATGTCCTGCCGATTGAAAGCGAAAGTCAGTGTGCTGAAAGCTCCGGTGCAAAGCTCTCTCAGCTCGCTCGCACTCGAGGTCTCTTAACTTCAGAGTGCGACTCTGGGGCCGGAGCTCCCGCGGACTTTTTCCTGGCAGTCTTCCGCGTGGTCCTGTCGAGTAATGTGCTCCGCCGAGGAACAGTCCCTGCACGTCGCGCCTTGATTTTGTTTTACCTTTTTTTGGCCCCCCTCCCAACACCTATACAAACAAACATCAGCCGCACCAACACACACTTACACACACACATTTGACAATATCAACAACACATTTTGAAGATGTCGTCGGCCAGCGTTTTTTAAGAGTTTTTACAAGTGTTTGAACCATTCCACCCAACATCCGAGATACACATTTGCCATACTTGATGCACTGAGACGACGGCGCAGCAACCGAATAAACAAAACAGCCCTAACTGTAAATTACAGTGCCTTCGATAAAACAAAGCAGCAACAACACCGCATCCGCAGTCCCAGGGAGAAGCAGGATCAGCCCCAAAAGCAACACTATATTTCGTTAAGCAATACTCGGTATGTTATTACGTATACGCGGTGGTGGGCGAATCATTGTTTATACGTATGTATGTGTGTGTATGTACGTGGATGCCTGTTTTAGAATTCGTTTGAGTGTACAAGTGTCTGCACCATCACTTTTGACTTTGTCATGCAACGCGCTTCTTTGAACGGTAATTATGACGGTGTCCTCTTCTACGGAGCCTCTGTAACGGTCACTTTTGTGGCTTTTGGATGTGGGTGTGGGTGTGTGCGTGTGCCTGGGTGAGCTCCCGCCCACTGCTACGTTTACCAGTTCCCCGCCGTGCGTGGCTGAAGCTGATAGACGCAGGCCAAGAAACTAATTAGAAAGCGCCCCGCCTAAAATCCATTCCTCAAAACGAGCCACAAATGAGTCGGGAATTTCATAGAGGGGCTATAAATTCCATGTACAATTTTTCTCCTCCGCGCAGATACAAAGACTTGTTTGTTTGCCATTGTGGTGGTCACGAATGAGCCAGCGAACAAGAAGCCCGGACAAGGACCCCCGACCCCGAGGCCCCTGACCATCCGCCTCCTAATACGAATACAAAAGCTGCTGAAATCAATAAAGACAGACAAAAAGCTACGGGCGGCTGACGTTGAAGCCAAAAGAAAGGAAGGCGGAGGGATGTGTATCCAGTGCTTCGGCCAAGACAGGACTCCCGGCTGCGTGAGTCTGTGTATCTGCATGTGCCACATTAAGTCACCTGTGGAGGACACTTTTCATATCGGCAGCAACACAATGGCAAATCTCGTCATCATCTCTTCCTTTCGCTCACCTCGTTGGCTGCTCTGGCGGCCTTTCTCCTCCTTCTGCCACCCCCTTTCGCCTTTTAGCCAGGCTTTTGTCACCTTTTGCGCTTGTTGCTGACGCTTGAGTGACGTAAATTAATACATACACATTTTACTGCCAATAAGGCCAGTCCGGATCGACGAAAACTTTTAGCTAGCTAACACAAAAAGTAGGATGCCATTGGCATCTTTCATCAAAAAATTCATTGAGTAAAAAATGTATGAATCATGCTTCTAAACGATTTCATTTTTTGAGAGAGCTGGCTTACGAAAAAATAAAGACTTAAGCGTGTATAAAGCAAAAGTTTTCCAAATATTAAAAAAAAATCGTTTTACCACCTTACAAAAATAGCTTTTCGTTTTTTTTTAATAATAATGGTCCGTCCTTAATATTTTTGTTACAAGTTGTAGCAAAAAAAGGAATAAGTCATTCGAATAAAGTTGATTTTGATTGTATGTTAAATTTGATTTTATTATATATTCTAAATTCTTCAAAAAACTCTATATTCCAAAAAACAGGCTTGTTTTAGTTTTTGTTACATAAGTTTTATTTAGTTTTTTTAAATTCTCATATACGATATAGTCCAATTTTCATAACATTTATTTCGAAATTCCTGGCTGGATGACTGGATAACTGCGATATAATTTTTTTTTATTTTATTCTATCTTTCCTATGGGTGCTCTATGATATAGGCCAGCTCCTTTACTACGCTGCAATCTAAGATTGCTTTTTTACCCGATACATCTATAGTCTACTGGGACTAATAAAGCCATTTTACTGGCTTTGGTTCTAAGTCCAGAAGTGTAAAGCTTTGGCTTGATTCCATTCTTTTTGATTCGAGTGAAACAATTGACTGTTTATCAAGCTCCTTTGAAAGGACAATTTTTAAGCTTGATAGTGTACAGCCGTACAATTAGTACTGTCCGGACAAGGCCTTCTTGTTGGGGTTTTCCGCGCAATCAAGCAGTTTTGCGGAAGCACTTTTGATGGGACTTAACGTCAGTAGCAGCCGAGTACCAGTGGAGTGCGCTAAGGGGATTCGGACAAAAAACAATATTATTAAGCCTTGCAGGCTTTGTTGTATAAATGCAGGTTTACTAAAAATTAAATTAAAAGTAAGCATATAAAAAAACGTATAGCAAAGAAAGTCTTTCATTGTCACATTTTCTGTTTTACCCATGAAGATTCAATGTAAATACCCACTTAAAAACAAACTAAGTTATTATTAAACCTTAGCTAAAAATAATTTAGATATCTTTATAAAGGGCACTTTTAAAAACAATTGTCACTTCGCATATATAATTGGGTAGTTTTCTGTTTTTTGTAGAATCTAGCTTAGACTGTAAGTTCATTGGTTTATCAGACTAGTCCGATTTTTGCTAAACTGGTCACCATAAATTAGTTAATTTAATATGCTATTTGAATCATAGTTGTTTTTATCTACAAGTTTTTTAAGTTTTATATAACATAATCGAAGGATAATAATTAGTACTTGCTACTGGAAAAGACAAAAGAAACAGGAAAAATTATCTTTTTTTAAAACAGAAACTTTAACTATATGGGAATTTTATTGTGTTGAGGTTTATTTTGAAGTCACGATTTTTGTCGAACACATTATGCACTTTGGTTCTGCAAGTAAAAAAAAGGTGACCGCAAAACGGTAAACTCAATTCAGTTTTGGCTGGGGACCTCCCCAAAAATATTCGAAGCTTTCACCCATGACTCAGAGAATCAGAGAAGGAAACTGGAAGGAGAGACGAGCCTTGGGTTGTTTGTCGAGTGCACAAAGTGCAAGGTTGCGTAGCCATTCATTCCGCATTTGGTGGCAGTGGGTGGCAGTGGGTGGCAGTGGATGGCGGGCGGAAGGAAGCGCATCAGTAATCTCTAAGTGCGCCCTGTTCGCATCCGAGCTTGTATCTGGTTGCATAAGAGTCAGGGTCAGCGGGAGCAGGGAAGTGGGACGGCGACTCGTGTGTGCGTGCTTGTGTGGGCGGGTGTCCTTGTTGGCAGACAAAAAGACTGATGATGATGGCTTTTGTTGCTCTGCTACCTTTTTGTCGCACGCCGCTTGGCAGTTCTTTAGTATGAAATGAGGCGACCAGACAAACGCGTCGCCATCGAAGATCGCCCAAATCGAGTTCGGACCAGGGCACGGCTACATCCAGAAGCATCGGAGTCGGGGACGGGTTTTGGCGCGGAGTCGGAAGCATGAACCGGGACAGCCTGCAGCAGTGGTGGGAGAACTCGTACCGGCGGCACCACCAGGAGCCTGGCCTCGACCTGGACCCCGCGGCGCCGCTCCACCCGCTCCAGGAGCCCGATCCCGACCAGCTGCCCTCGGAGCAGGACTTCGACTACGGCAACTTCAGCCTGGGCAACCCGTACGACCTGGACGCGGAGCACTCCATCTCCCCGCTGACGCTGCTGCTCCTGGCGGTCAGCTACGGCTTGGTGGTCTTCGGCGGCGTTGTGGGCAACTCCACCCTGGTGCTGACCCTCTGCTCGGCCTCCTCGGTGCGCCTGCGCAACCCTCTGCTCCTGGCCGTCTGCATCGCCGACCTGCTGGTCACCGGCATCTCCGCCCCGGTCACGCTCCTCAACCTCGCGATGAACCGCCGGACGCGCTCGCTGCCGCTGGTGTTGTGCAAGGTCATCCACTACATCCAGGTGAGTGCGTTCTCGACAAGGATGTTCCAACCCAGCTAGATACGCTCACCCAGGTCCAGTCGATCTGGCGCAACTAGAGTAAAAGCGTTCTACGAGTACAATAACAATAATTTAGAGACTTGGAATTGAGTTAAAGAAGCGAACAAGCTGACTTTCTCTTCCATACAGTAGACAAGGAAGCTGCACTAACCCATCTCCATCCATCTCCGCCAGGTCATGCCCGTGGCAGCCAGCACCATATCGTTTTTCATGCTCTCCCTCGACCGCTACGCCACCGTGAAGCATCCGCGACTGGCCCAGCTGCGCCAGCGCCGCTACCTGCACGTCTCGCTGGCCCTGCTCTCCTGGCTGGCCTCGGCGGCCATCAGCACCCCGTTCCTGTTTGCCTACAAGATCATCGCCAAGTCGATGGTGGTCAAGGGCGGCGTGCCGACGGGCACCACGCCGAGCCCGGTCCGCATCAGCTGCACCTCCGACCTGGGCGCCAGCGCCATGTTCATGTCCTTCATCCTCTTCCACACGGTCGCCGTGTTCGTGCTGCCCGGCCTGGGAGTGCTGCTCAACCACTACGGCGTGCGCCGCAAGCTCTGCGCCCTCTCGCTGACCGCCCGCGCCGCCCACGGGGAGCTGCCCCTGCCCATCCCCATCCTGCGGCGGCAGACTCACATGGTAATCGTGACGGGCTGCCCCAACGCCCAGCAGGCAGCCTGCGGGGGCGCCACCACCGCCGACGACACCTCCAACGGAAACGGCACTGCCGCTGGCGGTGGTCCTATGGCCGTCAGTCCGGGGGACATCCAGCTGCACACCCTGCAGCCGCGGCAGCCGGGATCCGTCGGCTCAGCCCTCGAGCCTGGCTCCTACCGTTCCAGCAATCCCATATCGCCCAGGTGAGTGACGTGCAAGGTGCATCCCCTTTAGTGCCCCAAAATGTACCTGAGAACCTATTGAAACTTAACTTAAGTTTTGTGCATTGAAATAAGCAAGGAAACAAGATTTTTATGATCCCTTCGAAGCAGTTTAATTTAATAAGTCAAGCTAAACAAGAGGAAAGAAGCCCTAAACGTACATTACGAGTGTACTCAAAAAAATCCATAGTAAAATAATGCTTCGGAGATCCGAAGCTTATAAGAGTATGCACTTGCAGTAAGACCTTAAACGTAGAAAATATGTTTTCCTATCTTAAGTTTGATCCTTAGAAAGTCAGCGATCAGTTAATTTCTAGTTTTGCGATTTCTGCCCTGATTTTCTAATTTTTTTACGACTCGAATTTTATAAAAATAACCTTGGAATATGTATCTAGTATAATCGTAAAAAATGTCGAGCAAATTAATTTTCTTTGATTTCTCCGATTGTTTCGTGAACTTCAATTTGAAATTCGGGATTAGTTGGAAAACTCTATATTATACAAAATCATGCTTGTATAACGCAAAACAACGATGTTATAATTTTGGCCCATTAGTTTTGTACAGGTTTTCAGATTTTTATTATGGCAACTATTAATAAAGTAGTCCGATTTTTATAAAAAATTTTTTCTTAATTTAATCGTCGAGATTTGATTTGATTATTCATCATCATTCGATGACTGTTATCTCCAAAACACTTTATGTAAAGGTTGTAGATGGATTAAATCCGTTAGTTACTGGCTCATCTCCAAGAGGCATTTCCCATTTCAAATACTAATAATTACTAATAAATAAAATTGGAATTTTCGAATCGATTCAGGGCCATGAGGGGAGATTCGCGCCCACTCGCAGCGCCAGCGCATCAACCGGGCGGGAAGGGGGCCGGCCACTCCCGGAATTCCGTTGCCGCAGACCTCCACCCTTCGGTCGCGCAGGCACCTGGCCAACATGCTCATCGCCTCCGCGCTGATCTTCATTGCCTGCTGGGCGCCGCACGTCTTCTGCGTCCTCTACAAGAGCCTCGGCAGCAAGCAGCACTGCAGCCAGACCTCCGTCTACTTCAGCCTCCTGCTGGGTGAGTCCACTTGGCGCGACCACTGTCCAATCACCACTGACCACTCCGAACCGCTCCCTTGCAGGCTACTTCTACTCGGCTATTAGCCCGGTGATCTACTGGGCGCTCAACCACAACTCGCTTCGACAATCTCCCTGCGCGCCCATCATCCGCCTGCGCTCCATGCAGAACTTCCTGAGGTCGCGCTTCCGGACGCACACCGCCCCGCCGCCTCCCTCGTCCACCAACGAGGCGGCCCTGGGGGCCTTCAATCCCAAGCTGATCAAGCTGACACCGAAACAGTATAGAGCTCAGGCCTCTTCGCATTATCTCTACTAGTGTGATACTAAACTAAACTTGATATACATATATACACATTTATACACGCATATATAATATATTTTTTACCTACGCCCTCCCAATCCCTTCTCCCCAAGCCCTCAAATCTCCGAAGCATCGACGTTTCGGAACCCCAAAACCAGAACCGAACTCCGACCCCGAACTCGAGCCCAACCAAACGGAACTATCTAGATGTTTTCCAAAAGCTCTGCGCAACTAGTTGGCGTTACCTGTGGCGAAACTCGGAATATACCTATATGCTACATGATTAGAGTACATTGCAGTGTTGGCTAACGCTTATTTACACAATGTTGTGCACCTGAAGCAACGCAATAGGGACAACTGAGTCCTGTCGCTACTCTTGCCTGTAACGAGAAAAACTGGTAACGAAAAACGAAAAAAAAAAAACGTAAAAAGAAAACCCTTTTAGTGACTTGTTCGAATTGTTGTTTAGTCTTTTAAGCTGAAATATTGTACTATGTTCCTTCTCATAGATAAGCAATAAGAGAACGCTTTAAGCCAAGTTAAACAAACAAAAACGAATCAAACTAAAAAACGATCTAAAACTTTTAACGATTTAAACCTAAACTCGAATACATACCTAACAAAACATACATAATTATATATACCAGTATATACATATAACATGTGCAAAAGTAAAAATGAATGTAAATGTGAGCAAAAACAAAATGATACAAATTAGTATTGTATACATATTCTTCGACTTAATTCTTTATACACTTTTTCTAACAATTTTTAAAATCGTTCAGTAAACTGAACACGGTGTGTAACGCAATTCCAGCTCCAGAAGCAGAGATCCCGCGGACCTTTTCCAGTTCAGAAATAAGAACCACCTAAATGATCAGACTCAGGATCGGGTTTCATTTTACTCATTTCGGTGGCCACCATTTTCTTTTTTACTAACTTTATACATGCTCTCCTGCAAGCGACTATCTTTTTTTTTTGTTTCGAAAACTATAAATCTTTCTCAAAGCCATCTAAAGCAGCAGCAGTTGTTATCGCCTTAGATTTAGTGGCTATATACTTTAAGCTATCTTTAAATAATCATTGTTTTGTACTTTACAGAATCGTCATCGAAAAGAGAAACTATAAAAACTATACAAATATGCTAAATAGTAAGTCATTGTTTTATTTTATGTATCGATGCTCGGGTTGCTCAGAAACTCCCTTCAGGGTTATAAACAAGTAGGGACTGTATAGTCGAAAATTTTCAACATAATTACATATTTTGTGAGTGTGTAAACAATATAAACAACTAGTAGATTCGGAGATCATAAACTTCTCAAATTAATTATGACAGTTTTTAGCTGCTTTAATATTTGTATACCCTTGCAAAGGGTATTATAATTACAGTCAGAAGTTTGCAACCCAGTGAAAGAGACAGCTCTGACCCCATAAAGTATATATATTTTCCATCTAAATCGAACTAGACGTGTACATCTGTCCGTCTGTTTTGCTTCTATGAAACTTTACCAAAAGTTGTGTAGTTATTGCACGCAGTATATAAGTCTAAATGGACCGGATCGGGCAACTATAATGGATAGCTCTCAAAAAAGGGATTACACATATTGAACCTCTTTACTTTTTCGATATTGAGTTTTTTTTTTAATTTTGAATTTAATTTTACTAAAATCGGATAACTTATTCATATATGGGAATCATGGGAACTTTTGACCATGATTTTTTCAGTATCAAGTTTTTTAACTTGCCTGGAATCATGAAGATTGAAAAAACCATAAAAAGGTATGGGACAAAATTATTCAATCGTTTTTATACCCTTGCAGAGCAAAGGGTATTATAATTTCAGTCAAAAGTTTGCAACGCAGTGAAGGAGACACCTCAGACCCCATAAAGTATATATATTCTTGATCAGCATCACGATCAGAATCCAAATATGTATGTACGTCTGTCTGTCTGTCCGTCTGTCCGTTTCTCTTCAAACTAGTCTCTCAGTTTTAAAGCTATCTTGCTGAAACTTTACCAAAAGTCGGAACGAGCCGGATCGGCCGACTATATCGGATAGCTCCAATACGAGAGAACGAAATAAAAAATTCTCAGGCAGCTGTTTTTGATCGGATCGACATGATTTCTTCCAGATGGCATTTTCTAACTGCTATTGAATTTCGGATTAAATTTTATCAAAATCAGATAACTCTATTATATATCATAGCTCCCATAAAAGAGATCAAAATATATACATATATATAAATAATGGAAAAAAAATTATAACGTCGTTGTTTTTAATCCCACGAGCATGATTTTTGGAACATCAAGTTTTTTAAATACTCTTAAATCGAGAAAAAAAATTTCATAAAAATCAGAGAACTATATCATATAGCTGCCAGATCGAAAAATCTATATAGAAATAACGGAAATAAAATGATTACCTCGTTGTTTTTCATCAGACAATCATGATTTTTGGAATATAGAGTTTTCTAATGAGTCTTGAGTTTCAAATTAAATTTCATCAAAATCGGACGACTATATTATATAGCTGTCGTATAAACAATATGGAAAATGAATAGAAGAATCGTCATAGCTTCGATGTTGTTTAGCCTTTGAGTATTTTGTATGACATATTTAATGACTGCAAGGGTATATAAGCTTTGGCTTGTTTTCTTGTTTTATTATAAAATTACCTTAATAAAGCCTTAATGAATTTTACTCGACATTTGTGATGACTGCAAGGGTATAAAAGCTACGGCAAGCCGAAGCTAGCTTCTTTTCTCGTTTAAACATCAGACAAAGATGCGCTATGAAATCGTGTGTTCTTTTAAGCTTAATGATATTTAAATTATAATTGCTTTATGAAACGGCATTCTGGCTTGATTGCCAGCCGATTTTGCATTAATTATTCATAAGTGGGAATTTAAATGACTAAAAACCCATGGTTGCATAATGCTCGCACGACGAATAAGCCGGCTTTAGAAGTGTTCTGCTCATATAACATTACAGCTTCTGACTAGTCGGACGTTGGTCGTTGCTCATTTTAGCTCTCAGAATAAAATCTTTAGAAATTTGAAATGTTTTACAAAACGCTGGTGCTTTGTTTGGCTTTTCTTGTTCTCATCCCGGAAAATGGATTTGCCAGGGAGTAGGAAAAATCCAACCCATCAAACCTAGATTTTTCACTTTAATGTGTGATTATTTCCAGATATCAGTTTATACCCGCTCGATGTGACGAACAGGTAAGCGTCGAGCATAAAATCGGTGGTTCGTTAAGCATATGCACGTTTCCACCGAAACACCAAGCGCCAAATTCAGAAGACATTCAGGCGGTGATCAAACACATTCAAAGTTTGAAATTGAATTGAAACACTCAGAACACGAATAGTTACAACGTTTAGAGAACTATACATTTTATATGCATCAAGTCGCGCTCGGGTTAATGAAATTAATAAAATTAGCTATAACTTTGTATCTTAATTGCTGGCACGCTGTGCATGCAGTTGCATACGTTTCTCGATCTCGGGCCGGAAGTGACGGATAAGGCCCTGGACTGGCCAGGCAGCACCGTCTCCAAGCGCGCAAATAGTGTGTCCCTCAATTTGTTTGGAAATCTCCCACAGCATGTCAATCTCAGAGGGTTGCGCGTCACCTTTGACAAATCTATAGCGCCAATAAGAAGTAGATAGTTAAAGTTGGTTACACAATATGCATAGAGGACTTACCGAGTCATGATCTTGTTCATCCAGCCGATTCCCTCTCGGCAGGGGGTGCACTGTCCACAGCTCTCATGCTTATAAAAGGATATAAGCCTAGCAATGGCTTTAATCACATCCGTCGACTTGTCCATGACGATGATAGCCGCAGTGCCCAACGATGTCTGCGCTGCAATTAGGCCGTCGAAATCCATGATGACGTCGTCACACACGTTTTTAGGTATGATGGGGGTGGATGAGCCGCCAGGAATCACGCCCAGCAGATTGTCCCATCCGCCAGTAACGCCTCCGCAGTGGCGCTCGATGAGCTCCTTAAGCGGGATTGACATTTCTTCCTCCACTGTGCACGGCCTGTTCACATGGCCCGAAATGTTGAAAAGCTTTGTGCCCGAGTTACGGGTGCGACCAAAGCTGGCAAACCATGTGCCACCACGACGACAAATGCTCGGAGCTACGGCTACAGTCTCCACATTGGTGACTGTGGTCGGGCAGCCGAAAACGCCGACGTCGGCGGGGAATGGCGGCTTCAAACGTGGCTTTCCTTGTTTTCCTTCCAGCGATTCGATCAAAGCCGTCTCCTCGCCGCAAATGTAAGCCCCAGCGCCTCTATGCATGAAGACATCGAAATCGTATCCAGTTCCACAGGCGTTCTTGCCAATAAGACCGGCCTGGTAGGCTTCGGCAATGGCCAATTGCATGTTGGATGCCTCGTTGTAGAACTCGCCCCGAATGTAGATGTAGGCGGCCTGGGCGCCCATTGCCCGGCCAGCAATTAGACAGCCCTCCACCAGCTTGTGTGGATCGTGGCGCATGATCTCGCGATCCTTGCAGGTGCCAGGCTCTCCTACGGGTAAAGCATATTAATTCAGTGGCCCAAAACACCTTTTCCATTGCTTACCTTCATCGGCATTCACCACCAAGTACTTGGGGCGTCCATCGCCGGGCTTGTTCATAAAGGACCACTTCATGCCGCTGGGGAAGCCAGCACCTCCACGGCCTCGCAGACCCGACGTCTTGATCTCGTTGACAATCCAGTCCGGACCCTTTAGCACAATCTCTTTAGTCTTGTACCAGTCGCCCCGCTTCAGGGCTCCCTTCAGCCTCCAGTCGTGTCGTCCATATAGATTGGTAAAGATGCGATCCTCGTCCGCCAGAGGACCGAACTTGGTCTTAGTTTGTGGAGGTGGAGTGCCTGGGGGTGGCGCCTGGTTGCTCTGGAACCTCTGCAGCTGCAGGCTAGCCGGGAGTGCCGCCCCTGCAACAAACCAGCAAGGCAAATCAATAAATTGCGCAGAGCACTGGGCAGCATTTGTTTTGCTTTACGCAAAAATTACATAATTTGATGGCAAGGAAATCGATTGTTTTGAGGGCTCGAAGCCACTAAGGCAGTTGACAGATTCATTGATAACAAGCTTGAGTTACTATTAAGCAACTAACTGAAGGTCACTAGTGAATTTTCAGCGTTTATTTACCTATATGCGGCTTTGTTAACAAATTAAATCGCACAATCGCAGCCATTTTCGGAACGACTAAATGACAGCTGAAGAGTGACTTTTGTTAGCGGCGTTACCAGACCAGCAACATAATCTGTGGACTACATTTACCAGGGGTATTCGTGCAAGCAATCAGCAGTGGTTGCTCAATCGGCTAACAGTGACTTTCAGATATTTGCTTCTTAAAAACGTTTTCATGAATCTAATTTATTTTTAAATTTATTAAAAAAAATTGACCGACCCGTAAAGCAAAATACTAATGGTGTTATTCCAAACAAAATGTAAAAATAACAATCCATTATTTTATTAAAGCTCTTGTAATCTATGCTTAAATACTGAATTTATCTAATATAAGATATCTTTTTTTTTTATATATTTAAAATAAAGTACTGCCAAATAATGTTTAAAAAATATCGTCTTGCCCGTTTTTTTTAGTTTTTAATTAATGTGAACAAGTGTGAAATAAACAGCCTTTTTAATCTCCTACTTAGCAGTCAGTGTATTATCATAATCGTCTTACCGTATGGTGAATACAGTCTATTTTGCCCCGAATAAGCAGGCCTAGTGTAACCGGTACTAATATTTAGTTTAGCCTATACGTTCACACTAATTTATCTGTTATTTGTTTTGGTAAAAAATGGCCCAAAAGCAGAATAATGAGGCAACCAATGGGACAACTACTCAATTGGTTGACGAGCTAGACGCCGGTACTCCATCGGAGACTGCTCGGACCACTCCCACACTGCAACTGCGCTTGGAGCATCCGCGCGAAGAACGCCGGGTGGTTTTTCATGATGGGGTCATAGACAACGAGCATTTGAACCGCAAGAAGTCCAAGTGTAAGCCATTTTTACACTCCAATAGACATTCGTTGACTTGACTTACTTTTGCTAGGTTGCTGCATATACAAAAAACCACTGGCATTCGACGAGAGTTCCTCGGAAGACGATGAGGATTGCGAACACTGTTTTGGGCACCCTGAGAAGCGAAAGAGGAACGCAAAGCACAGCCACGCAGAGGGGCAACCGGAAGGACCATCGACATCCGCGCAGGCTGGCGACCCCACTCCCCCTCCAGCGGAGCCTGTTGAATCGCCTTCCGATCAAAAACCACCTACTCAAGATGTGGACATAACGCGCACTCCAATTTAAATACGCATAATTATAAACGTTAACAATACGGAACCAACTAGACAGCACTTAAATTTACGCACAATGACAATTCGGGCAGTAAGAACATCTAAGGGACTCGAAAGCGTTGGATACTTAGACCTTAGGCTTGAGCTCAAATGATTCGCTCACGTTGTTGGGTATGTTGAATTCCTTTGCCTTTGCCCTGGAGCGCCAGACCTGTGCAGAATTACTTACATTTAGGGCTAAAACAATGAAGTGTTTCGCTGCTTACCTTGATCGTGTAATCATCACTAGTGGTTACCAGCATTTCCGAGTCGCGCGGATTAAAGGCCACACTGTTAACCACGTCCGAATGCCGAAATTTGGCCAGGCTTATGCCATAGTATCGGTCCCAGAGGTAAGCGTGTTGGTCTTCCGCACCACTAGCCACATACTCTTCGCAAACGTCCAGGAAAATAAAAAAACATTCGGTGCTGGGCGTATAGGCCTTGTGGGCGCGCAGCATATTGCCCACCCGCTTCAGGGTCATCAGGTCAATCACATGTATGTCGATCTCTTGAGCGATCGGTGGCGGCTCTAGAGGGTTAGTGATCACGTAGTTCTTAGGCCATGGACGCGTATTGACGTACAAGTATCGGTGATCCGGGCTTAGAGCCATGCCGATGATGTGTCCATGCAGATCTATCACCTTGTCCACCTTATCGAATCTGTCTTTTACTGACTCATAGTCCCACCAATCCGGATCGGTGCGCGGCGTCTGCTGCTGTTTCTGCTCTGCGGCGCGCTTTGCAGCAATTCTTTCCTTCAAGGACGGGCCTGGGTCCAGCTTCTTGGGAAAGAATACGTTACGTATGCGCTTAAATCCGATTTGGTGGGGCGTAAATGTTTTGGAGCCCGTGGAAAAAATGAGATATTTCGGCATGCTGTTCTCCATTTCGTCGAGTTCCTCATGTATGTCCATTGATTCGTACTCGTCTTCTTCGTCTTCGTTAGGCTCGTTAGCGGAGGCCACTGCTTTTCTGTATTCCTCCAAGTAGTGAATAGTGGCGTCCCCAGGCCGCGTCCTGGAACGGCGCTCGCTGATGTCCGGCAAGTAGTTCTCCTCGGGGGTGGCACTCCTTGTGCGTCGAAGACTTGCCGCATGAGATACGGGATTCCCGCTAGCCTGGGAGCTAGATCCCTGATCGCTATCCTGTGGGAAGAGAGGCGCACTGAGGCCCTCTCCCTCATCAAACCCTCCTAGTGGATCGTTACTCTCGTCCAGCCAAGGACATCTGGCTACCATAATGGCTCGTACCGAACTGGCATTACGATTGTAGAACTTATAGAGCTGGCTCATAATTGGCACATGCTCGGAGTCGATCTCCTGATTGGCCTTGTTAAGCCACAGAACCGATGTGCTCACTAGGTGCGCCAGCCAGTGCAGGTCGCCCGAGATCAAATATTGATCGCTAAACCAGGTGCCAAAAATGTCATACGGACGGTTGACCACCCGGCAGCGTAGGTGAGACTCATTTGCGCCGAGATAGAATACCGCAATCTCCCCGGAAGTGGACTGCGGCGAGCCAAAGTGGACACCGGAGACCAGTAGCAAGGTATCGCTCTGATTGAACTGCGAGTATTGGGAGTATTTCCAGCTAAACTGCTTCATGTTGTGCGCATACTTCTCCGTACATGGATGCTGTGAGTTCCAGATCTGCAAGATATTGTGGATAAGGAATTTCGCTATGAGGTTAGCGATGTGGACTCACTATGACATAGCCGTCCTTCGAGCATGTGGCAAACATTTCGCCGTTGTGAGCGAAGCTTACATGCAGCACTTGGTGCGTGTGACCGTGGTTGTTTTCCGCAGTAGGCTCCAGGCGCTGCGCCTGGACGAAGGGTATGTGCATGGACAGGCGCTGGTACTCTGACCTCCAGCTCTCGGCTCCCGGCTTCAGCGGAATGCTCGGGGATGCCCTGAAGTGCTCCTGGAACTTGTGGCGCCACAGCAGGTCGTCCTTGGCAACACAGTGCCACCTGCGACAGCAGCGGCTTGCACTGAGCAGATCGACTACGCTTAGCCGCTCGAAGATCATAAGAAGAGCCGGCTCTGGCAGGGCCCACCAGCCGAACGGATCTGTGCCGGAAGAGCCCTCGTCGCTCTCCTCGTCCTGTGCTGGCGATGCATTGCCATCCCCTATAAGTCGGGCCTTTTTGAAGGTCACTTCCATCGGAATTTTAAGTTAGAGCTTCTTCCGCTCACTTCGGCGCTGGAAAATTAGTGTTAAATAGCTAATGTACCTTGGGGTTACACCAGATTCGGCCCACTTTGTTTCTGCGGACTCTAACATGAATATAACTTTCTCTCTTATTGTTATTGTTATCGTTTAGCTTTGCAACGGCCAACACAGAACAGCTGTTGAAAAAATTCGTCCACTTTTTGACATTTGGTATCGACATTTAGTCAGCTGATGGTTATCGAAAAACAAGTGGTCGCGCAAGAAACGAAAGAAAGGGCATCAACATAAAGATACCTTTTGTTTGGTTTTTTTCAAATAACAATCACCTAATAACTGACTGGGATTTTTATATATTTGTATCCATGTAGTTTTGAGAATTTTCTCTTTTATTAAAAATGCTTTACAAAAGCAGTCGACCCCCACCAGGCAAAGCCAAAACAGACTAGCGCCTGGTAGCTATCGATATCGAAACAAAACACACTTAATGTTTACATAAGCAAATGCATTGTTATGGCCACAAATACTTTAATTAACTGATGCATATACACTTTTTTTAACGACTCGGGTCAATTCCGTACGGTAAATGTATCTTGCCAAAGTACTGAGTCTAGTTAATAAAGCTAACATTCAAACTCATGTACAAAAATTGTTCGTCACAGATATTTTCTCAGAATATCACGTTTGTACATTTTTTTCGGTTTTTTAAAATTGCTTTAGCAAACAATTTACGTGTATAGCTGACTAACAAAAAAAGATTCTCGGTCCCTTAAACAAAGGTCAGATGCAAAGTAAAAAAAATTTAATTAAAAAAACTACAAATCTAATATTCTGAATTACTTTTTAAGGCTATTCAACAAATTGTTGCTCACCGGCCTCTATAGTACAATTTGTCGAAAGTTTTACAAATTAATTGGATTACCCTGAACCGATTGATAATCTTTGCATATGCATAAATTACTATGGCATTCGACGACAGAAAACTCCGTTCTGATCGGATCTTAATAGCAAATGTTCATTTTTGTGGCGATATAAAAATAGTTTCCTTCCAATCCCCCCACGGGGTCTCTTCGGCAGGGACGTCCGCATAATGACTCAATATACTTTTACTGCGATTAATAAACTACGAACATCCCGAAAAGAAGCCATAGCGCCAGTAGAGCCGTCAATGAATGAGAAGCAAAGATATACATAATGCTGTTGAGCAATTCACCACCTCAGTGTAAAGCAATGTAAACAATTCAGGTAACAACGGAAACAATTAAACTAGTGTATCAGCTATCGAAATCGGTCAGCCCAAAGATTTAAAAATGCCAGGTTGTCTGCGCAGTTCCAGGAAGTGAGTTTTCCCAAATAGAAATCCAGTCGCAAACCGACCTCCTGTCTTCACAGCATTTGGCAGATACTTCGCCACTACAGGACGCCACTACTTGGCGGATCAGGGTCTTACACCAATCCAGTGGTGATTGCGGCTGCCGTAAGGACACCGAGTGGTCCCTTCCGGGCAGAGGAGCTGAGGCTCGCGGGCTTGGTTGTGGACGAACTGGTCAAGCGAACCAGCGCGCCACGCGAGGAGTATAAAAAGTTGATCCTCTGCTCCTCCCTCAAGACTCCGGCTGCAGAGTGCAGGGAGCAGCTCTCTAGCGTGGCCACGGAGCTGGGTCTTCGATGCGAAACGCTGGCCTTGCAGGATGACGTCTGTTCCATCAGCGGCCTGCAGATGACGCTGGACTGTTTGCAGCGCGGGGCAGACCAGTGCATCATTACGGGCGATATTCGCGCCCAGGTCGTCCAACCGGAGCACGGCCTGCTGGCCAATGAACTCATGCCCGTGCTGCAGCCCAGGACGCGTGAACGTACTGCAGCGCCTGAGCCGGCTCCTACCCTGGGAGCTGCCGCACTCGCCTGGACCACCCTGGAGACCGCCCAACGCCTCCACCTACAACCGCTCGCACTTCTGCGAGAGTTCGCTATTGAACAGGACCACGAACAAACAATGAATCGCCTCGAGGGGAGGCAGCCGATCGCACCCAGCGATATCCACACCTGGGTCATGGTATCGGGTACGCAGCAGGCCATCCCGGAGAGCATTCTTGCGGAGCTATACGCCAACCGCCTGTGCAGGCACGACTTCAAGCAGGTCACAGCCAGCCACCTGCTCACGCACCTGGTTCATTCTCTTCCCACTGGCGGACTGGGCTGCGCCTTTATGGGCATGCAGGATGGTCGCTCCATGGTGATGGTTCTCGAAAAGCTGTGCGTCTTGACGTGGCTTGTTGTGCTCTGTTTGACCAGCTCTCGTCTTTCAGGGTGCCCAGCGTCGATCTGGCGGAGGGACTCCCGTTGCTTACTCTGTACACCAGGGAACCGTGTCCCCTGTGCGACGAGATAGTGCACCGCCTGGAGGAGGGCTATGCAGGCCGCTACCGTCTGGAGAAGGTTTACATCGACCGCAAGGAGAACGTTCGGTTCCTGCGCCTCTTCAGGCACGACATTCCTGTTCTGTTCTTCAACGGCCAGTTCCTTTGCATGCACCGGTTGAACGAAGAAGCGCTTGTAGAGCGACTTGATGCATTAACACGATCATGTTGAAAATCGCTGAACAGATAAAAATAACACGTGCATTTGTACATACATAGCTGTCGCACAGAGAAATTTCAGTCAGCCCATTGAATGGAACTGTTTTATTTCACTTGCCTTATTTAAATTTCCTCATATCGTTTTAAATTCAAATTTGACCTTGAAAGTCGATAGAATTTCTAGAATTTTAGAAAGAAATTTCGAATAGGGCTCTTTTCACATTTTGAATAACTTTACCAGCATGCATAGTACTATACATAATTAAAAGCAGTACAGGTGTGGGACAAAGGATAACATATAGTCTACAACCAAACTTCTGAATTATATGGATTCCGTTTTAATTGTGTTTATCAGGTGAAAGAAAAAAGGTATATACCTACATCCGGCATTAACTGCACAACGTTCAAAAGATTTCACCCATTGGCTTGATAGTTATTTCGTGAACCTGTAGAAAGAGAACCGAATTTATTAGCAAATTTGCATTTGATTACGGAGGGAAGCTATCGTCGGCAACCCGAAGTTTTATTACTATCCTGCGGGTTAAAAGCTATCTAACGACTTTTCTACGCACAAAATAACAACGAGAATCGGAAAAACTAACATGACATTATCAACTTGCTGTTAAGTTGAATATATGACTTAAATTTTAGTACGCTTTTCAAGGGAATACTCGTATCTATGTACCTGTACGTGAGGAGGAGTTCGCAGGGCGTACATCACAGCGTCCGCAATGTTCGCGGGATCCAGCCTGGCCATGTCCTTCACGTAGAAGTGGATCTCCTCTGGAAAGATGTTCGTGTTCACCGCGCCAGGACATATGCCGGTCACCCTGATTTTGTTTGAGTGCAGCTGGAACTCCTGGCGGTAGGTCTCCGTGATAGCCGTGATGGCGAACTTCGTCGCCGGATAGATGTTGAACGAGGGCAGCACGTCGATGAAGTTGAGCACCTGGTGGCCGGCGATGCTGTTTATTATGAGCACGTGGCCCTCGCCGCCCCGACGCTTCATGTTGTTAAAAGCCTCGCGGGTGCACCAGATCACTCCCATCACGTTGGTGTCGATGACCTCCCTCAGCTTCCTGGTGTTGCCCGGCGTGACCAGTTCCGTCTCGCGAGTTATGCCAGCATTGTTCAGCAGCACGTCGGCGCCCTCGAGCTCCCTCTCGATCCACTCAAAGGAGCTGATCACCTGCTCCTCCTTGGATACATCGCACCGCCGCGGAATGAAGTTGGCCTGCAGACGCGGTGGCAGACTCTCCCTGAGCTCCTTTAGCTTGGCCTCTCGGCGCGCCAGTCCCACCACCCGTAGTCCAGCCACGACCATCGCCCGTGCACAAGCAGCTCCTATGCCACCGCTGGCGCCCGTGACCACAGCTAGTTTGTTCTGCCAGCGCTCCATGTCGCCGAGTGAATGAAAAGCTGATGCAAGCCGAAGTCCGGCATCGGGAATCGCCGTAGCGCTTGCGGGGCTTCATGCTTCGAAAATGAGGTTAATCTCTAACGGTCAAATGTGTTGACCGGCGAGTTTGGCCTACGCCAAAACTCAGCTTGTTAAATGTGAATATTTGTTGAACTAGGTGTATTTCCCTAAGATAACATATTTGAATAAAAAACTTCAGTAAGATATACTAAAAAATTATAGAAACTTATAGCTTCATAGAATGCTGGCATATTCATAGAGCTCACCACAACAGTATTTCTTGTATAATGAGAAAAATAATATAGAACACGACACAACATGCAAAACAGTGAAGGTAATAGGTGACAAAACTGGTTTCGAAAAAAACATTGTCATGAACGATTTGAAATACATACATATTTTGATTTAAACTTAAAGCGTACATACGCTTCGTCTTGTGAAATATTAACTGTAATACGCATTACAGTTATTTATATGTTCTTTTTAGCGCTCAAAGCTTAATTGAGCTTTAAAGTTGGCTAGTTCTGCAGGGGAGTTCTTTAAAATAACGCATACAAAGTTAAGATATGTCGATATATTCAAGATTTGATTGAAGTCTTACAAAAATTATGCTTCATGAAACAAGAAAAAAATACATGAACGAAATTGTGTTTTTTCCTTTTATATCCTAGCAGAATATGACTGCCAAAAAAATGCAAAAAGTATACAAATATGTATGTAATTTATACATATATAAATAACGGAAAAACAATAATAACGTCGTTGTTTTTAATCCCACGAGCATAATTTTCAGAATATGGAGTTTTTTTAATAATCCTGTCATAAAAATCGGACGACTGTCATATAGCTGTCATATAAACAATAGTCGAAAATATGGAAAATTAATAAAAAAAATCGTCATAGCTTCGATGTTGTTTAGTCTTTATGTATTTTGTTTGACATATTTGATGACTGCAATCTTCGGCTTGCCGAAGCTATATCCCTTTCTTGTTCTAAAAAATATTTATATTAATTTTTTATTTTTTAAAAATCATTCAGCTGTTACAAGGTTTAAATTTAAAGTTGTTATCGATAGTGATGGCGGTACTATCGATATATTATGCCAACCGGGTGCGGAAACAAACTCCCACCCCTTAAATAATAAGAAAAATAGGAGCTGTCTGCAGGTGTTGCAATTTGTATTAAATTCGTCGCGAAAACTACAGCTTTAACTTAGTTTACTTGTAAAATAACGTTTGTCAGGCGAAATGGCACAAATGGACATCGAGTTAAAAAAGGTGAGCGGTGGGCACACCGGAGTAAAGCGGCGGTCGTCTCAAAGCGCGTGCTTTCCAGAAGAGCTTAATCATTCATTCTTCTGTCTTAAAGGCCTTTACCGAGATGCAGATTAATAAGCTGGACACCACAAAGAGGATCAACATGATTAACATGAAGTGCGAGATGCTTAAGACTGGCAAACACAAGTACCAGCTGACGGAGAAGAGTACTAGCAAACTCGACGACGATTCGAGGTGAGTAAAACGGTGGTAGATCATGTCCAGATGGCTCATTCATCTATTGTTCTGCAGGGTTTATCAGTCTGTAGGTCGAATGTTTCTGCTGACCGATGTGCAGAATATGCGGGAAGACCTGAAGGCCAAACAGGAAAAGTGCGACAAGGCGATAGAACTGCTGGAGAAGAAAAAGGAGTTCCTGCAGAAGTCTCTAAAGGATCAGGAGGACGGTCTGCGCGAGCTGGTGCAGCAGCGCAAGGAGGCCGACCTAACTGCGAAATAGACTCGACCATAGAATTCATCCCTCAACTTATTTATTTTCAATATACTCGTCTAAATTGAAGTTAGAGTAGCTAACAAACTCGTTTCCCAGATTGCGTTCGTGCTCCGGCCTAAAGTTGCACTTGAGCACGGGCAGGCGGGCAGTCAACCAAGGCTCCACCACCTCCCCGGAACAGAAGATCAGCTTGCACTCCGTCGGGTGGCGCTGCAGCCTGGTGATTATCTCACAAGTTTTGGCGATGCACTCCTCGGAAAGAAAGGGCGGATCGGCCACGACCAGGTCATACTTTTGGTGGTGCGCTTTGAGGTAATCCGGATTGGTGCCTACGCAGTTTAGGTCGTAGTGCACGAAGTCTGCGCCGTAAGCTTCAAATCGCTGATCGAACTCGAAGATATGGACTAGAAAAAAATGTGATTACCATGGGAAATTAAAACGTGGTATCTTTTTTTACCCTTATCATGAATACTCCTTATGTCCTTGTATAGCGAGGGGCAGGAGAGGAGTGCTATTTGAAAGCCACCCGCCGAGCCCGCCTTTTGCTCCGCCAGCAGCTTACCCACCACATCCCGTAAAATTAGTTTAGTTTTCGTGCTGTACCAGAACTGACTTAATTGCTGCAAACATAAATAGTCAGCAAAAGACTTTTTTAAATTTTTAAATATTCTTGCCCAATCTTCCTCGAAGTGTGCGTCTTTCCCGGTCTTGTTGACAATTTGATTCTCTTCCTCGGCTTCGCGCTTGAAACGCTCCGACAGGAATTCGTTAAGGATAGCCAAGGTGTCGGCGGGGAGCGAAATGTCATCGTCCATCCCTGATTAATTTGTCGTTAATCCTTAGAATTAAAAACACCTCAAGCAAAATGTGCGACTATAAGAACTAGAGGTGCACTGTGCTCGATATAAAAACAAATGCAGTGGGGGTATTCCTGACACTTTATTCGGGCGGCACTTTTAAATTAACAATAGTTAACCTCTACCACGGGAATTTTTTTTAGGTCGAAAATAATGTACATTAATATTCCCTGCATTAAATGTAAAGGTTCTGGATAAGTTTAACAAAGGGTTAGCCTGGGTTTATTTAAAATTATGTACTTCCCGACACTTTTTTTATATTATCGTCTGATAGTTCAAAAATAAGGTATTTAACTTTAAAAATAAAAATATGTAATTTAAAAACAAATACAAGGCATTTACTCTTGAAATTTTACAGTAATGCAATTACGACAAAAAGCTGTTCAGAATTTACTTCAGAACTACCCTTTCGTCAGCTTTTTCTGCTAAAATTCTACATTTCAATTTAAACAATTTAACTGCATTTATAAAGTTTAGATAGGATAAGTTTTTATACGGAGAAAGTGAGAGAGAAACTAAATCTGTTAGGTACGTGGGCTTTATATTTCGAAAGATCGAGAAAAGCAAAGCAGTGAAAAATTTGTGGCTACCCTGATCATTACTAGTTCATTTTTATCGAGCTGGTTCACAGGCCATCTCTAGAACGCACGGCCAATACGTATTAATTTACGAGAAAACTTGTATTTAATTCGAAGTCATTTCGCAGGAAAGAACAGGCTTGCTGTTGAGTGGTAAGTTGACCCGAAATTCGCACGCCGGAAGTCTCTAGTGCGGATCTGTTATACGGATGAAGCCTGGCGATTAAAAGCATAAATGAAACTACAAGTGTGCCTGGGCCAACTTTCTTCGCCCGACGTTGTCCCAAATCAGATAAAAATGTGCGACAGTGCTAGCCAAATTGAACGGGCACTGTAATGGAAAAGTACGCAGGTCTGCCTTCGCGTTACTTCGGGAAGCATTCAATTTACGGAAGCATCCCATTCCCGGATTATCCAATTCCCACAGTCAGCGCAGCTGCAAAGGGCTCTGTACTTTGAGCGCTGCGATTTCGGAATATTGTCGAGTTCAGTAAGGTCAGTCGACCCAATTTGCTACACGGTGCCTTCTGTATCTCTGACGTGTACCTATGTATGGATGTCCGTCCGTCCGTCCGATCAAGCTATCTTGTGACGTCACTCGTGCACATTATTTTCATCAGATTGATGTTTGGACTCGACATGCATGAATAATGTTAAACGACTGACCAATGTGGCGGTCCGTTGACTGACCTAGTTCCATTAAAGGACACCCAATCCACATATTCAAATCGATATTACTGTCTCAGTCGTCAATAACTAATTCAAAAGTACACGTAGGATGAACCTCCATGTCGGGTTTGCTTAATCGCTGGGCCATCCCCCTCCACCTGCTGCCACCTGTTTGTGCTACACTGTTTTGACGTGTATTCCGCATTTCGTAACAACATGCACACTTCTTTCTGTAATTTCGGATGGTCTCTTGCAGTTTTGCTTTGGAGTTTCGAATCGAAATACCTGCTTTTACTGTGCCAGGCATCATAAACCGCAGCCACATAACTACTACATCTAAACTCGACTTTGTAAGATGCAGACACAAGATAGTTTAATATCGGTTAGCTTTTCGCTTTTTGTTTTCTTTTTGTGTGGCTTATGCAAAGCACTGTCTGTAATTGTGGTCAAATCATCTTGGCTTTTGCAGACATTAAAACGCCTTTTGGGCACGCCTGTTCTCGTTTTAAGTGCGTTCGCTTGCCACTTTCCATTCGACTGGTTTAACAGCTGGCTTCAAATGTTAATTGAGACGTTAAGTGCGTGCCGACTCAGACCCTAAAGGCAGTACGATCGCAGTTTTAGCCCGGGGTTGAGCGTTAGTTTCTCCTTAGATTTGGGCACTTACACAGTAGATAAGTGCGGTTTTTCAGGCGGGGTTTCCTTATCATTGCCTGTGCCTCGAGATAGCAGCCGAATTCCCGCCGATAAGACCCAAAGCAACCTTGAAGCAGTTTACTCTACTTTTTTGCCCTTTCATAATTGACTTGCAGACTGAAAACTTAAGGAAAGCGATCACAGGAGCCACCATCATGAGCACACCCACCGACCAACCCCCGCGCAACGATAGCGCTGAGACCAACAGTTCCGAAGGATCCTCCCAGCAGCAACAGCAGGAGCAGCAGCAGCCATCCCAATCACAGAACGTACCGGCCAAGCTCTTACAGCATTTCCAGACGAACCGCATTGATTCTGCGCTGTGGGCCTTGCGTCTGCTGGTCATCTTCTTCACTGTCAGCTACGTGCTGCCTATCTTTACGTGAGTACAAGCGGTTCGCTCTCCAGACCTTCCAATTCACACTTTTTTCGACAGATCGCAACAGAGCGCATTCAGCAAGGTCCTTCTGGCCAATGCCGCCATTTCTGCCCTGCGTTTGCACCAGAGGGTGCCAGCGTTCTCCTTCAGCCGGGAGTTTCTGGCCCGCCTGTTCGCCGAAGACTCGTGTCACTACATGATGTACTCCCTGATCTTCTTCAACATCGCCCCATCGCTGCTTGTTCTGATCCCCGTGTTGCTCTACTCGGTTCTGCATGCCTCTAGCTACTCGCTCAAGCTGCTGGATGTAAGCATTCAAATCTTAACATCAAGACATACAACTAAAATAACAATCTTGCAGCTTATTGGCCAAAACTCGTGGTGGGGTGCCCGGTTTATCATCTCCATTGTGGAGTTTCAGGCGGCCAATATTCTGAAAGCGACTGCATTCTGCGAAATTTTCATCATGCCCTACGCCATTGTGCTGACCTTCATGTGAGTATTTTATTCTCCTGAGTTTAACATGCCTTTTAATGCCATCTTGGCCTTGTAGGAGACACGCAGGACTGATGACCCCCATAATCTATTACCACTATCTGGTAATGCGCTACAGCTCCCGTCGCAATCCCTATCCCCGCACCGCATTTGCCGAGCTCCGCATCACCTTCGAGGCGCTGGCCGCCCGCTCGCCGCCCGCAGTGGGTAAGATCATCCGCGGAGGCATCGGGTTCATCAATCGCCTGGCCCCGCAGCCACAACCGGCTCCGGCGCAGCAGTAGAAAGCAAACTGTTTGCGGAAAACAACAATCAAAAGACATCTGAACACGCCTATTAAAATATCAACCAACTTACATAGACGTTCAACAGGAGATTGGGGTTCATCCGTTTTATTTATTAGTCCAAACTCGTTGCTCCTTTTTTAAACAGGCAGTTACGAGCTCTTTCTTTAACACCTGATTGTTTTGGTAGTTAAGTTTAAATTTAAATATGTACTATTGTAATTTCGGAGTGTATTATGCTTTTTTCCATCACTAATTACGTTTTTGCGCACGAAGTGCTTTACATTGAAGGCACGTATTATTACCATCAAACGTATTATTACCATCAAACCCTAAACATAGAAGTTTAATTTACTTTAAATTGAATTATATGCTTACGAAACTGATCAAACTGAGAACCTGGACAGCTGATGATGTTAATAATTATTTAAATATATTTTTTATGGATGTGTAAAGTTACTAAGAACAAAAACAAAAAGTAAAGTAAATTGTAATAAAGAAAATCGTAAAAAAAGGAAAATTATGTCCGATTTCAGATTTCGAATTTTTTTGAAGGCTGCAAAAAAAGGCAAGGACTTGATTAAGAATCTTTAATGAGCAGGATAATTTTATTCAAGCATTGAAGGAGACACTTCAGGCCAAAGTATAATATATATATTTTTGTTCAGCATCACGATCTGAATCGATATAGAGGTGTGCGTCTCTAAGTCTGACTTTCTGAGAGACTAGGTAAACTAGTCTCTCAGTTTTAAAGATATCTCGATGAAACTTGACCAAAAGTTGTGTAGCTATTGCACTCTCCTATAAACTTCATCAAAATCGGTTAACCATACGAAAGATCGAAATCTATTTATATAAAAAAAAAAAAAAATGATAACTTTTTTTTATCATATTGACATGATTTTTAGACTAGTTTTGATCAGCATCAGGTAAACTAGTCTCTCAGTTTTAAAGCTATATTGCTTAAACCTTACCAAAAGTTGTGTAGTTATTGCACGCACTATATAAGACGGAACGGACCGGATCGGTGGACTACATATATCGGATAGCTTCCGTAGGAGAGATAGAAAAGTCTATAAGAATTAAGGAAAATAAAATTGTAACAGCGTGGTTTTTCATCAGGCAAGCATGATTTTTGGATTATAGAGTTTTCTAAGGATTCTTGAATTTCGAATTAAATTCCATAAAAATCGGGCAACTAATCAAATATCTTATGAACAATAGCCAAAAATAAAGACTGATGGACAATCGCACAGACGTACAGACTTAGTTCGACCAAGATCGTGATATTGATAAAAAAAAAAAATATATTTTATGGGGACTGGGGGTTCTTCTTCAGTGCGTCGCTGACCTCTACTGGTATTAAAATACCCTCAGCAAGGGTATAAAAATGTAAAATAGCTGCTTATGAACGTTTTAGCTTATGAAACAGGTTACTATTTTCGACTTAGATTATCTACATAAACTGAAATGATGTCGGAATAAGTGATTATTAGTAAGTAATGCTCTATCTGAGACATCTGCATAAAAATAGGCTAGTTTACAACATTCTAACCATATTCTGCCCGCCTTTGTATTTTTCACCACCGAACCATAAACCTAACGAAAGGGAATGCTTCTGGGTGTGGGAGGAGGGCGTTTGGAGTTCGTGGTGGAGATGGTGTGCGTGGTCTTGGACTGCTTCCGAATTTTCCTCAAGTTCAATGAACTTCTCGCACAGCGCCAAAAAAACTGTTTGCTCGAACGAGGGTGAAGGCACCAAAGCTTTGTTGGCGGTGGAAGACTCACTTTCGTTCTCAGTGCTGGAAAAACTTTGGGAAAGGGGCTTTTCCTGTGGGGCAAGGGAAGCACTCCGACCAACAGCACTGCCATTGAGCCAGTTTATGGCATGAAGTGGTGTCTGTGTCGATAGCAACGTATGCGTGTTGATGTTTTCATGGGGTTCTTGAACTTTACCTCGCCGAAAGATTTCTTTTCTTGTTCCGATTTCCGAAGTCCGTGGGATGAGTTTTGTGGTAAAGATTATATATAACGTTTTTTTTTTAAGTTTTAAGCAATTTGTCAAACGCTGCGGCCGGACTCTTCGAATATTAGATACCCATAGCCTCAATAGGTGCAGCACTGTGCCCAATTTAAAAGAAACAGAGCAATAATAGGTGGATCAACCCCACCAATATTCTGATCAATTATACATTCTCAATGTAATGTAATGTAATGTAATGTAAGTATTGCAGTTTGTAATTTCCAGTTTGGTAACTGTAAATACTTTGGGTTCCCATTGCATAAATAAAATCCGCAATGCACAGTAAGAAGTTCTGTCTACCTTTTTCGTAAAATATGAATCCAACCGAAATGAGCTTAAATGGGTCAAGCTATCGAAGTCGGCTCTCCGGTTTCGAATTGCGTATGTGAGGGCTCGAAAAGCAACCCTCATCAGTGACTCAGCCCGAAAATCCTCTGCCTGGTGCTACACGCATAAAATGGAGTCATAACGCTGCGAACCGATGCGTTTCCACCCCTGTCGGCCCCCACCAAAGAAGCAATTTTCCAAAATGACATCATGACAGCCCCAAAACAGTTGCATTTGCACTAAGCACTTGTGAATGCTATCTAAATTATAAAATTAGATACCGAAAGCGAAAGCGGAAAGCGCAGCCGAAAAAAGGCCCCAGACTTTGGAGTTGTCCGCCTCTTGTTCCCTTTCCCCTTTCCCCTTCCCCCCACGTCTCCCTTCCCCGCCCCCCCGCTCACCAGACCGCTTTGAGTGAGTTGCGGCTCGAGGTCTTTGAACTCCCCACCGAATGTGCTACGAAAATGGGTCATGACGTGAGCGTTTTCCAAACCGAAAATTCTCCATTTGATTCTCGGGCTCTGATGGAACTGCCCTCTAAGAAAACCACGCAAGCTTCCTCCCGAAGCAATTTCAATTTTATTGCGTAGTCGCTTGGAGTTTGCGCAGCTCAAACAGCTGATTGGTAAATGAATGCCACAAAAGCAGCATAGGAAAATGTTGAGCTTAGTATTTGTGTCAAAGGGTGGTTCTCTCGGCCAAAATGTGGGGTTTGGAAAGCCTAAAGATTAAAATTATTCAAAAACAGTTTTCCGAGCTCCAGCATTAATGATTAAAGAGTTGCAAAATTGATTCACTTCAATTTGATTAATAACTATATTTTTTTCATAACAATAAATAGTAAAAGCTGAAAGAAAGATATTATAACTTACAGGGCTCACCAAGTTTAATAATGCAAAGTACTCAAATTTCAGACCAGTTCACAAAACAAAACTAGTCTAGTTACCTCAAATATCCCGCTTCAAAAACATTCCCACTCAAACGGATTTCACTTCAAAAACATTTCCACTCAAATGGTTTTCACTCAAATGGTTTTCACTCAAACCGCTTGAAACGAGCTCAACAGAAATTTCCCTCCAATTCGAGTCAATGGATATGACATAACTGGCTGTGTGTGAGCACATACACATTTGTGTGAGTGAGTTTTTCCGGGAGGAATACAAGTGCTTGTTTTTTTGTATGGCTGGGGCCAGTGACCCCGTGAGTAACGGTATCCATAGTATTATGTAAGTTTCTCTGGGTGTTTCTCGTTCTCGCTCTTTTATTCTTTTATATTCCATTTCGATCCAATCTACCGAGTTTCCAATTGTACCCGCAGGCTTCTTAATTTTAAAACTTTTTTTCGGGTGCTCAGTCGAATACTTACATATGTAAACTACATATGTACATATGTATGTATGTACATATGTAGTTTCCATTTTACTTATGTTGATCACTTGTGGAACTTTTAAGATTTTATGTTTTCACATTGGTTTCTTTTCAAATTAGGGGAGGTATCGCATGCGTGATTACAAAGATCTTTGGTTCAGTGCTTTCAATAGGAAATGAAGACGAAAAGCATCTTCCATTTAAATCGAATTTCTTCTTGAAGAGAAAATGAATTTTGTATCTGCGCGTTCCAGAAAAACCATTTGTTTTTGGTCTCGAAAGGGTGCAGTACGTAACTTGGTAGGAACTCGTATACGGATATGCCGTTGTTGAAGCCTAAAGATCTCGACTTTAGATTAAATACAGTGAGTTCTTTTAAAAATAAAATTCACCCGCTCTTAAGCACCCAGTCCTTTCATAATTATGTACATATCTTTGAAAGTGAAATCGTGCGCATGCCAATTGGACAAACCACCCTCGCACCTCACCCTTGCCAGAAGTCAACCCCAGAAAGGGAAATTTCGGGTCGGAGAAAGCGAAAGGAAAATTGCAAGGTTCAGGGTCGTTGACCCAAGGAAAAGCTGAGCCAGCAAACCAAAACTCAAGACGCAGAAGCGACAGGAAAAACCTCCAGATCCGAAACCAACCCCAAATAATAAAAAGGAGTTTTCTTGAAGTTGGTAACTTGTGAGTGGGGTGGGCCACCGTTAACGCCTTGAGGAGCAGGGAAAGGCAAATTGACACATATTCGTATGTCGGATATGGAAAAGCAAAACAACGTGCATTTATCAAAAGGCATTACTATTTGAGGGCAGACACAGATTATATGGTTATTGCATCACTATTTAATGAGCTTGTTAACGTGATGAATGCGCATCGAAGTTTCAAATTTGCCAGGCTCATTGTCGGGTTTCTTCTTAATTTTATTATTTTTTGTACAATCTTAGCAAAACATGGATTAACATATTAACGAAAAATTCAGATTTAATAGATTATTTAGAAGGCAGTTGAATCGTTTTGCTGATCTATATATAGCGCTGAGTTTTTCACTCAACACGGAGATTTAAATGAAATGTGTGAAATAATAAGCAAATTGATATTAATAAACTACTAACTGATTGGGTTACTTCATTGCCTGTTACAAGCTGATTGCAATCTTAGGTGTGTTGCGCAATTTCGTGAGGTTATATTAACAAAAGTGATAAGAATTTGTAATTATTTAAATGTTTTATTTTTTTTACATTTTTCTCGAAACGTTTTTCAACATACCCTGCCTAATTTATATTTTCTCAAAAATATTAACACACAAACAGAGTTTTTATTACTATTATTTTTTTTGCAAAATATGCAATAAAAGTATTCATGCAGCTCAGAATTTATGTATATATGCAGTATTAGATTGCGGTTAATTCATTGCTGGTGCTGTAAAAGTAACGGAAAATAAATAAAAATTGAGAAGACTTTTCCAGAAGTTAACGATGTATCTTAGGTACAATGATCTTACAATCAAAGTTTCACCTCATATTCAAATTAGCTTCAACATGTAAGGACACTCTACTCAACCTTTGATCCTTAACAATAAGTTTGTAATTATTTTTCAAGCTTTTTCACTAGCTCTACCTATAAAGAAGGCAGTCACTTAATAAAAGCAACAATTGAAATTAAGATGTATACTTTCTAGAATTG